TTTTAAATGTAATTTCTCAGTTGCATTAGCCACATTTCCAGTGCTCAGTAGCTGTATGTGGCTATTGGTGACTGTATTGGAGAATGCAGTTACAGTGCATTTACATTATATGCAAAGTCCTGTTAGACAGCTCCTTAATGAGGGAGGAATGCATGGAAAGGTGGAAGATAAGTGGAATGAGATGGCTAGGAAGCAAGGATGTTCATTGATCTATACTTGCTTCACTGTGGGCCACTGCGAAAGGAGATCTAGTCTATTGAGAAAAGGGCTAGTCTATGCAAAAAGAGTCTGTAAACAGATCTTGGTTATATTCAAGGATATTGTTCTTAGATGCTAAAAGAACAATGGGTATTGACTTTGTTACTGCTACTGAATCAGTGAATGGATCAATAAGCAGAGGTATAAATGAAGGAAAAGATTGCTTATCCTGGATCAATGATGAGTACCCTGGGGTGTCTGAATCTTGGATTTTGATTAAACCCTGTGACTCTGAGGTCCATTGCAAAAAGAGTGCTTTTCAGTCTATGGAAAATGAGCTTATTCCAGAAGCTAACAATAATCAGGATTTAGTTATTGTACTTCTGAGTATGGACTGTATTAGTTTTAGTAAACAAGTACCTGGATAAATCAGGAAAAGTGCTGTATAAATAAAAACAAAATGGTTATTCCTGTTCCAAATATGAGACTATATAAAATAATGAGAATCGTTACTAATACATTTCTGAAGCACTAAGTCCCAGTAAAATCAATTAATCAAAACTGACCCTTTGGATAAGGAGCATTTAGATAAATGGATGTTAGAGTTCATGTTGTTCTGGTTTAGGGTATTCATTTTTTGTTTTTTAAAAGAAGAGGGCAAAGTATTTACTTAAATTATTGCTTAAATCACTACCTAATTGAGAGAGGGTTTACACATGGATCTATCTTGAGAATATGTCAAATGATCAGTTATAATGAATTCTAATAATCTTCGCTATTTAAATTCGGTTCCTCAGTTTAATTTATGAAAACAAGGAAACTGATCTGAATTTTCTGTCTAATGAGCATTTGGACAGGCATTGATATTGTCCAGTTTCTGTGAAGTCACAGATATAATGATTTTATTATAAATGCAAAAAGGAACAAATTAATGTCCCAACCAGTTATTTAAAATAAGGCCAAATCATGGACCAGTGAGGGTCAGGTATTATGGAACAAAAAGAGTAATTAATCCAGTTCCGTACAGTGGCTCTCCAGTATTGTCGTTATTTCCATAAACAAAATTGAGGTAGGCTCTTGCGTTTTTGTAATGGTGAATGTATTTATATATTTGGATAGTATTTCCCTTTCAGTCTTGTTGGTGCAATTTCCTTAAGACACGGAATAGACAAATGACTCCATGTGTAACTATTTAACTTCATATGTATGTATGCATGCATGCACAGTTGTTCAGAATATATTTGAATTCAGGATTCAAATTAATTTAATTCTTTCTAGCAAGATTCATGTACCAAGGAGATTTAACTCTTTCCTGATTGGGTAGAAGGCAGATAAACAGACAGACATGTTTAAAAGTCACAGTTATTATTCTTTTGCCTGGTGTTACTTATAGTAGTTAAATTTCATACCTTAGTCAATTAATCAATGAATCAATGGGTATGTTATTCATCTTTTAAACATATGACAAGTACCAGGGTTTATTTCTAATCAATAATTGTCGACCTGAACTGAATTTAAAAAAATCTAAATCTAGGCTGATCCATTTTTCTCTCTCTCTCATCTACCTACTTTTATATTCACCTTGTACTCCACAGAATGGATGCGCAATGATTCAATTATTCTCCAGCGAGGAAGATCATGGTTGTTGTCTGTTTGAGTAATGAGTGTAGAAACCTATGTAAGTAACAAAGTGATTGCTTTTGCTTTAGTGGTTGTTAAGAGAGTTAACTCTTACTGGAAAGGAATAAATGACTACATACACAAATAAAATGAATAAAGTTTATATGTGAATTATTCAGCACATCTGTGGTCAGTTAAGGAGAAAAAAGCAAGACTGTCATATTCATTTTAATAGTTTATTTTTGAGTTAATTAATGTAAAAATTAATTCAATTTTATTTGAGTCACAGTTGATTTTAACTTCCCTCTGTAAAGACAGCTTAGTCACATTCCAAGATGGAGGATATTGTCAGTGTGGGGTAAAATGGTAGGTTCATAGTTCTTTATCGTCACATCCTTAAAATAGGGACAAGGTCAATGAAAGATGATCAAGCCTTGACCAATTAAGAGTATGGGATTAATAGGAAGCAGATATGGTCATTAATCTGCTAATCTGAAAAACTGAATCTATCACACAAAGGGATCTATCTTCCTTCCTCTGTGAGAAATGACCTATGAAGAGATGTCATGGTTGTCTGATTTCTTGTTACTGGGTTTTTGGGATTCATAGGAATTGATTACGCTGTTAGTAAACCAATGAAACATGAGATAATGTGTAAATGCATGATGATGAAGAATACTAAATATGGACCAATGGTGAGTTTTTGTTGGGTTGAACCAAGGATTAAGATTAGTTCAAATATGCAGTAGTAATGTCCATTTCCAAGAGGGACAGTCTATTCATCTTGTGGAAAATGAGCCCACAGACAATGTGGCAGTACTCATGGTGTTTAAGTTTTAAGGTTTTGATGGATATTGATTATATTATTATAAGTGTATGATGATTGAATTAATGCCCCAATGTAGAATGAAAGAAGAAAATAATCTAGTATGGGCATATAGAATGAAACAATAATTTTTGGTTTCTTTTTTACATTTTAATTTTATTTTAAGTTCTGGGGTACATGTGCAGGATGTGCAGGTTTGTTACCTAGGTAAATGTGTGCCACGGTGGTTTGCTGCACCTATCAACCCATCACCTAGGTATTAAGCCCAGCGTGAATTAGCTATTTCAAAAAATATTTCTGAAACACTGAATTTCACTAGGGCTTGATGAAGCATGTTATCCCTTTGGATGAGGAGAATATAGGCAATTTTTGTAATAGTCAATTTTCTTGCTCAGGTTATAGAGTGAATTCATAGTTTTTCATTTTATTTAAAAGAAAAAAGCTGTTAAATAAATAAGTAAAAGATTAACCCAGTAACTTAACTACAGGGCCAAACATTGACTGTTAAGAAGCCTGGGTTCCTTTTTATTTAACTGTTGTTCAGATATAGAAAGAATTTCAAGGCTCTGTCCACTTAGGGTATTTTACATGTAGACAGAGGCAAACATTATATTTTAGTTCTTAGTTGTTGGTTTTCTTAACCTGCTAACTTTCTTTAGAAATGTGAATGATGATTAATTAATCCATAAGGAAGTACAGACACAAATACATAGATACAGATGTATACAAACTGATGTATACCTAAACAAGGGATACTGTAGACCATTGATGAAACTGTGCCATGAAACAATCATTTAGATTAATTTCATTTAAATGCAGTTCATTTAAAAGTAAACCTAAATTATTGTTATCTATTTCAGAGAGGCATAGAGACAACTATTCATTATATAGTTCTTTTTCTTGTATTTAGGAATGAGGTTTATTGTACTTATTAGTTTATTAAAACTTAATTTTGAGCTAGTAATAGGCCAATCATAAGCTAGTGATAAAACTCTGTTACCTATCAAGAGTTTCAATTAATCCAGTAACACACGACATCCATAAACAGAAAGAAAAATCACAGTGATTTCATTCTTTCTAACATCTGGTTTGTATTTCAAAGAATGGAGGCATGATGGCTGATCCAATCATTTTCCACTGATGAAGGTTTTGATGGCTACCCATGTGAGTAGGGAGGATATAGGCTGCTGTTAGTAATTGTCTTAAGTTCTTAAGTCTAATATCAAGGATTTTGTTAGTAAATTTTGATTTTATTATTATAAAGGGATCAATGACAGAACCAATAAACATGCATATAAACAAGTAAAAAAGGAGACCGAAGCATTGCTCAACTATGAATGAATGTGATTAGGCAAGAAAAACTACTAATATAAATGGAAAACACTGAAGTCTCAAGAAATATATGTACCAAACATGATATTTCTTTGTCTAAGGGTCTTAAGACACTGCATATAAGAAATAGTCAATATTATTGTTCTGGATGAGTTCAAGTTCAAGGTTAATTTTATTAAAAGAAAAATATACAAATATGATCACAGATTAATAAATACCTAAACTATTGTGAAAATGAAAGGGTAATACAAAAGTGAATGAGGACAAGTTATCGATGTTTATCATCTGGTCTGCTTTCTACTCCTCAGAATGAACAGCCCCATCTGATTTAAGCACTGTGCTATGACCATGAACTGTATGGTTACCTCTATGTGTCACAGGAAGACTCTTGTGAGTAGTAGTCAAAATTCTTGCTTTGTTTTAAGGGTATTCTCTGTATTCTTAAGAAGTCTAGAATATAATCAAATAAGGTCAAGCATTTTTATTATTCACTACTTAAGTATAAATTTATTTTTAAGATTTCCCTCTTCATAGCTATTTATTTTATTATTACAGCACTGTTAATGAATTGATTAATTAATCAAAAAACAAATGTAGATAGACATGAAGAAAGATGGAGTCAATCTTGGACCAATGATGATGACTGGTGGCGTATGAGTCATGGACGATGAATACAGGTCTGGAAGTCTGAGGTCCAATATAATAAAAAATCTAGTCTTCACCTTCTGATCCTAAGGAGAGACATTAGGAATATTTGAGGATGTTGTTCTTGTTCTTCTTGTTCATGCATTTTCCCTCTATTTTTATAATTGGATCAATGAATCAAGAAGCAAATATATTTTAACTGCATAAAAACAAAAAGAGTGAGACATTGTCCAATTACGGAAATATATGGTGAAACAAGAAATACTATCCATTTATATTAAAAACACTGATGTCTTCTTTCTATTAAGAATGAGTGAGTCAAAGGTATTACTGCTTGCTGGAGGATGGCATATACGAATGAGGAGAAAGTGGTCCTTCCTGGACCAATAGTAACAACTGCCAGCGTATGCATCTTGCGTGATGAATAATAGATGTCTGAAACTCTGAGGTGCAAACCAAAAGGAATCTAGTCCATTCCATCCCCTCTGTTTAGATGCTCCTATAGACAGATATCAGGAGAACACTATGGCCTATTCTTGTCTTTATGTTTATTAATTCTAAAAAATATTTTAATTAAAGTAGCAATGGTAGAGTCAATAAACATGTATAAATAAAGATGAGACATAAATTACTGTTTGATGTTAAAATGTATAAGAACAAATAGTACTAATATAAATTGAAATCGATAATAAGTAGATCAGCATATTACATCTTTCACTAAAGATCCTATAGTCAGTGATAAGTAATAGTTATTGCTCTGAATCAGTTGCAAGTTTAACATTTGTTGTATTAAGAGAAAAATTAATAAATACATAAATAACTGTGTAAATGAACAGTGGAAAATATGGACCAATAGAGAGGATGTCTCAATATTTTCATCTTCTTTGCCTTGCACTCTTCAGAATGGATGCACTGAGCTGACTTAAGCATTCTTCTGTGATCAAGATTAAATGTCCTTCTTAGGAAAGAGGCCAATGTGAGTAACAGTCAAAGTTCTTACTTTGCTCTGTGCCATTTGTTTCAGGGTGTTAGTGTTAAACTAAATTTAAAAAGTGTTAAACATACTTAAATAGCTAAATGACCCAGTTATAGATATGATACAAAATATTATTTTGATTAACTGTTAATGTACATAGAGGTCAATTAATGAAAGACATATAGTCTGTGTGGGAAATGATTCCATAGACTAATATTAGGGATTTTCAAGGATCTTGTCTTGGGCTTTGTAAATCACATGTTTATTTAGTTATTATTAATGAATTAATGATTTATTCAAACAAATGTAGAAACGAATGAAGAAAAGGGACCCAAACATGGACCAATGATGACTACTGATGGCGTTTGAGTCATGGACGATGAATACTGTGTGTCTGAAACTCTGAGGTCCAACAGAAAACGTAATTGGATAGATATCAGAAATGTGGAAAGATCATATTCTTACTTTGGATTAATAGATTTAGATTTATCATTGATAGATAAATGATAGAACAATTAAACAAGAATTAGTAAATAGAGAGTGAATCATTGTTCAATTATGAATACACATGATGATGTAAGAAATATTATCATTAAAAATTTTAAACACTGATGCCCTTTAAGGAAATGGATCATGAATGTCACCTCTTTGGCTAAGGTTCATCTAGACTCTAATAAGAAGAGTCAGTTTCATTTTCTGATTCAGTCTCATTTGATATTTTTCCTTTTGTTATGAGAGAAAACATTTCCATTCTGAAAAAATAATCAATATCAAAATAACTGAATAACAGAAATGTGGAAAGGATCAATGGAGATGTTTTGAATTTCTTTTTTAATTACCTGCTCTTTGTATTCTGCAGAATGGATGCACTTGAGCTGACCTAAGCATTCATGGTCATGAGATTCATGGTTGCTACTGTTGGTTAGGAGCATAGAGATCAGTGTGAGTAATAGTTAAATTTCATGTCTTTCTCTAGGAGACTTTTTAAAGGGTATTCATAATATCATGAAAGTGTAAAAAATCATCCAAAAGGCCAACCTCAGCCAATAATAAATATGAAGTTAGTTGAAACAGTATATTTACTAGCTCATTTATGACACAATGAGGATAATTCATGTAAGATATATCAAACTGACAGATTGTATAGAAAGTTCTAGAATATTCTATGCTCTTACTCTTTGGATATTATATTTACATGGGTTATAAAATTAATATTAGTGATTTAATGCATAAATACATGTAGATGAGAATTAAGCTAAAGAGTTCTAAGCCTGAGCCAATGATGAAAACTGGTGACGTAGAAGTCAAGGATGCTGAATAATGTGTGTCTAGAACTCTGAGGTTCAATAGAGGAGGAAATATAGTCTATTGCTTTTGAAGTGATCCTGTAGTTAGGTTTTGGAAATACAAAAGGACCATCTTCTTGATTGTTTTTATGAATTTTGATTCTTCTTTAAAATAAATTCATTGATGTAATAATCAATGTTCACATATAAAAAAGTAAAGACGGGGAATGTGAAGCATGTCCACTCAATGTAAATGATGAGACAACAGAAATCATTAAAACCTATTGAAAATCTGAATACCATTAAAAAAACAAACAATTCAAGTGTTGTTTTTTGACTAAGGATGACAAAGGCAGTATAGTCAAGTTTCTTATTTTGCATCAGAACAAGTGTGTTATTGTTCATTTTTTAAAAAGAAAATTGATAAGTATTACCACAATTAATAGATACCTGAATGACTAAGAGAAGGGTCGAATGAATGAATCCATGAAAAATATTTCAATCCCGTCATCTTCTCTGCTTTGCACTTCCCAGAATGGACACATCTGGGCTGGCAGAACATCTGGCCTTGATCTGGAGCCCCATGTCTGTCGCTCTGTAGAGGTGCACATGAGCCAATGTGAGTTAATAGTAAAATTATTTTTTGCTTTTGCTTATTTGTTTAGGATATTCAGTGTAATATTTTGAAAGTATTATATATTAATGTAATGAAGGAAGGCCAGCCATGTCCCAAGGATACATATGGACTTGACATGAAATATTGTGTAGATTAACAGATGTTATGTTAATGAACATGACTAATGAAGGAAGTATTAATATACTAATTGAAGCAAATGATTATATAGACAGATATTAGGGATACTTAAGGATCTTATCTTTAAAAGTTGGTGATCCAGAGGTATTTATGTTATTGTTAGTGAATTAATGAATCATTAGGAAACTATTTATAAATAAAAGGAGAGAAACAGGGCCAATTCTGGCTGGACTGATGATGACCACTGGTGGCCTATGAGTCACACAATGAATACATATCTGGAACTCTGAGGTCCATCACAAGCAGTATCTAGCCTAGTCCCTCTGTCTGAAAAACTCCTGTAGACAGATGTCAGGGAAATACAAGAACCTTGTTCTTTTTCTTTATGTTTATGAATTATAAAAATATTATATTATTAAAATAGCAATGAAAAATAAACATGTATAAATTAATACAGATGAAGGTGGAGTATTATTTAATGTTGAGATGTATAGTAAAGAACAATAATACTAATATAAATTGAAATGGATGGATAATTAATGGACCAAGTGTAATACATCTTTGACTAAGGATCATGTAGACAGCAATAAGTAATGGTTAGTGCTCTGAGTTAGCTGCAAGTTTCACATTTGTTGTATTAAGAAAAAATAAATACTCGAATGACTATGTAAATGAATGGTGAAAAATATAGATTGATGGAAAGAATATTCAATTTTTTAATCATCTACTCTGCTTTGCGGTTTTCAGAATGGATGCAGTGAGCTGATCATTTCTCTGTGATCAAGGCTATGTTGCCTCTGTGTTAGGCCAATGTGAGTAATGGTTCCTGTCTTAGTTTAGGTTGTTTAATAGTATTCCTGGTGTTATTAAAAATTATTTAATATAATAAAAAGTTAACTGGTTCAATGACAATGTGCAACATTGAGGTTAATTAATCAAAGAGATATAGTCTCTGTGGGAAATGATTCTGTAGACAAATGTAAGGATTCTTCAAATATCTTGTTCTTGGGTTTTTGAAATCGTGTATTCATTTTATTATCAAAGAACAAATGATTTATTCAATAAATATTTAGAAATGAATGATGAAAGAGAGACCCAGCTATGGATCAATGTTGACAACTGGTGGCATAAAAGTCATGGATGATGAATATGAGAAGAAAATAATCTAGGTTTTTGCTTCTGTTGGAAATGATCCTGTAGACAATGTCAGAAACATACAAAAATCATTTTCTTATCTTGGGGTCATAGATTTAGGTTTATTATTACTAATATATGACTGATAGAACCATTAAACAAATATAAACAGATAAAAATACAAGTAGAGGTTAACTTCTTGGACCTCAGAGTTCCAGACATATATTCATCATCTATGACATGAATGACGTGATTCCATAGATAGATGTTAGGGATATAAGAATCTCTTTGAGATTTTTTGATTCACAGATAATTATTTTATTATGTTTGATGAATTGAGAATTAATCAATAAGCAAATATAAAGTAGTATGAGGAAAAAGACATGTAAACCTGAACCAATGATTGATGGTTTAGAAGTCGTGGGTGATGAATATTATGTGTCTGGAACCTAAAGGTTTGCAGAAAACAAAATCTGATCTATTTCCCAGGGTCATTTGCAAATGACGATCAATGTTTGAAATGATAGATTGATGTTAAGAATATGTAAGAATCTACTTCTTTCATTTTGGATTCATGGATTTACATACTATTATTATTTAAAATTGATCCATGATAAAAGTATTAAATATATAATTCGACAAATATGAAGATGGTGTGATGGACTTCAACCATGTGATGATTCAAGATATACTATCAACATAAAATGAAACACTAGCTCCCAATGTGGTGAAATCCTGTCTTTACTAAAAATCCAAAAAATTAGCTGGACGTGGTGGTGCACGCCTGTAATGCCAGCTACTCGGGAGGCTGAGGCAGGAGAATCACTTGAACTCAGGAGGTGGAGGTTGCAGTGAGCCAAGATTGCACCATTGCACTCCAGCCTGGGCAACAAGAGCAAAACTCCATCTCAGAACGAAATGGACCCAAGGGTGTTACTTCTTTTTGATTAGTGATCATATAGATGCTGGGAAGTAGGAGTCAATTTTATTGCTTGAATCAGTCCATTTGAGGTTGTTTGTTTTGTTCAGAATGAACATATATGTTATGAAAAGTTAATAAATAACTAAACTATGGTTTGGAACAAAATATGGAAAGCAAAATTGACAAAGAGGTATTAGTTTTGAAAATCAGCTGCTTTGCTTTGTACTTCTTAGACGGGATGCACTGGCGCTGATTTAAGAATTCTCTCATAGTCAAAAGACATATGGTTGCCTCTGTGTAGGTTCCTGGAGACCAATGTGAGTATGAGTCAATATTCTTGTCTTGGTTTGAGTGTTTTTTTAAGAGCTATCACTGTGTTATTATACACTTTGACATATAATCAGTTAATATCTTAAGAATGGAATTGGTGTAATGTATTATGTTGATTAATCTGTATGTGAAACACTGTGTTAAATTAATAAAATATATCTAGTGTCTATGGGAAATAATTTGTAGACAGATATTAGATATTCAAGAATCTTGCTCTTGAGTTCTTCTGACTCTTTGGTATTTACTTATTTTTATTAGTGAGTTGATGAATTCATCTATCAATAAATGAAGACATGAATGAAGAAAAAGAGCTCCAAGTCTGGACCAAAGATGAAGTTTGGTGATGTATGAATCATGAACAATAAATACCTGTGTCTGGAACTTTGAGGTCCAACATGAAAACTAGTTTGCTCCCTATGATGTAACTGATGTATATATATAAGAAATAGCAAAGATCTGATTGTGTTTCATAGCTATTGATTATATCTTCATAAGTTGGTTAGTGTGCAAATAACCAAAGAAATGTATGAATACATGAAGAAAATGGAACCAAGTATAGACTAAGTATGTCTCCTATAAAGTTGCTCTGATTTAGAAACAAAATTTTGGATTTTACTACTTTTATTAAGATCGGCTAGGCATTTCTCTTCTAGATTTCTGAAAATGAAAATATTACTCATTTTCTTGAAAAAGAATAGATGGTTGGAAAAATTAATTCATTTGTTCCTGAATTATAAACTCATTTATACTAATAATGAATGAGTTAATAGATAAAAAGGTCAAGAACTGACCACTCATGAGAATGTGTTATAAAGCCAGGAATCAGAAGTAGCTGATTCTGTAAGTCGAAGCTAACTTGCAGAGAATACCAAGACGATTATATGTGTGAGTGGAGGCACTGAGGCCAATATGTCCCATAGTCAGATGTTTTTCTTAATGCAGGTGATGGATTCAAGAATGTTCACTATTTGATGTAAAATTAATAACTGAAATAATTCAATAAATAAAAGGAGAGTGAATCTAATTTAAGGATAGGGAGTGTCATGAACCAATGTTTGAGATGAACCTAACCCTTATCATTTCATATTTATTCAGACACAGCCTGAATCTTGTTGTTTCATACCTTTAACATTTACTTTGTACTTCTCAGGGTTGATGTTCATGGGTGATTGATCATCCTGTAGCGACGGTGGTATTGACTGTTCCACAGCGGACAAGGAGTGCGTTCTTACATAAGTCATAGTTGACATTCTTGTTTTTGATTGGGTAGTTTGCCTGTTCATTGATATTCATAGTACTATAAAAGGTAGATAAATGGCCACATACCTAAATAAAATCAAAGGAGACAAAAGGTGAGAATCTGTTGTAAACTAAGGATTATAATTAATCTAATTCAGTACAACTGTGGACAATTTTGAAAAGATAAAGATTGATGTCATTTTAGTCATTTTATGGATAAACTAAAAATGGGACATTTTTGATATTCCATTTTAGCATTTTTCATAGTTTACACAAACATTCCTATATTGCTAGATAGCCTAGTCTGTTAACCCCCTGAGGAAGAGCATGTGTGAAGTAAATACTTGTCATTATCATAGTAGGGTCTATGGATTAGACCCATAGTGGATTATTCTTCTGGTTTATTGTTACATCTTCATAGAATATATAATTTAAAAAAAAGGTTCAAGCATGGACCAATGACATAACTGAAATCAAATCTGGACAAATGTATATAATTATTATATTTCACAACATTTTTATAGTTCATTACAAAAAAAGACCTAGTCTATTACATTGTTTATTACCTCTCTTGGAAATGAACCCACTGACAGATAGTAAGACTATTCAAGAAACTTGTTTAGGGGCTTTGGTGGATTGTTAACACATACTAATTTTATTATCAGTGGATCAGTATGCAAAAACATCATGTAAATTAATGTAGATAAATATGTCTAAGTGTGGTCTCATTTTGAGTGTATTTACTGGAAGAAGAATTATTATGACATGTCTCAAATGTTATGATCCATTAGTAAAAATAGACAAAGCTTGTGACCCAAGTCAGTAACCTGCATATACACATATGTGAATACTCATTGTCTTTATTTCTGGAGCTTTTTAGTTTATACTTGTTTTTATTTTCTCTTTTAGTAAATTGAAAACATTATATAAATACATAAATCAAAACATAGGTAAGGAAATGAGAGGAAGCTAAGCATGGACTACTTATGAGGATGTGTTTTGAAGCAGGGATTATAACTTAATCCATTTTAGTACAATGGAGCACAATTTAAAAAGAGATCAGTGTTTTCCATTCTCTTTTCATGGCTATGTATTATTCTGTTTTAGGTTTTACTCCTGTTTATGCAACATTCCTTGATGGATAACAATCTATGGGTTAGATCCAAGGCTTACAATTTAGGCAGTTGTGTTTTCGTAAGTCATTATCAGGGTTTTAGATGTGAATGCGGTGGTGAATTGATGGTTGTTCATTGTTCCATCTTAAAAGTATGTACATATTAAATGAAGAAAAGGCCAAGCACCAATCAGTGATATGAATAGATTGATTGATCAGTTTTATGATTAAATTCATTTCTGCACCCCTGCAATTTATTTAAAAAGGAGATTTGGTATGTTAAATCTACAGGAATTTGTTTGCAGACATATTTCAGTAATAATCCAAGAACTGATTTCTGGGGTTTTGTTGGGTTGATTATAATGCATCAATGGTAACATCAATAAACACATAAATAAATGAATAAAGAGGAAAAGGACAGAACTGGACTAATTGTCCAAATAGATTATGATGGAAAAAATTTGTTAATGTAATTCTGAAAACTAGTATTTATTTAAAAATAAACAGAGTATCTGAAGGATGATTTAGGAATATGTACATAATAGTCAAGGTTCTTGAATTTGATTAGTGATAGTCTAGGTTTTTTGCTTAATTAAAAGTAAGAAAGTAATTATTATATTAGCTAATCCATATGTCAATGTCTTAGAAAATGAAATGAGGATGGCATGAGGTCAGTGGAGTGATTGTCTCATGGTTTTCACACCTATCCTATATTCCACAGAAAGGACATCATGATTGTGATTGTCTTTATTAACTTTGTCAGGAGAGTGAAGACCAATGTGGCCAGGTGTGGTGGCTCATGCCTGTAATCCTAGCACTTTGGGAGGATCAGGTGGGTGGATCACCTGAGGCTGGGAGTTCAAGACCAGCCTGACCAACATGGAGAAACCCCATCTCTACTAAAATTATAAAATTAGCTGGAAGTGGTGGCACATGCCTGTAATCCCAGCTACTCAGGAGGCTGAGGCAGGAGAACCTCTTGGACCTGAGAGGCGGAGGTTGCGGTGAGCTGAGATTGTGCCATTGCACTCCAGTCTGGGCAACAAGAGTGAAACTCCATCTCAAAAACAAACAAACAAACAAACAAAAAACCAAAAAAAAATGTAATTGGCTGTTAAAGTTCTTGCTATGGTTCAAGTGGTTTGCTTCCTCACTGTGTTATTAAGAAGTTTGAAGTATCTTTAATGAATGTCCTCCCTGACCACTGGCCCTGCCAGGCATGCTGCCGTCTGTTCTCTGGGACTTGTGAGTAGCACACTGCTCCTGTTATTTCATGTGATTTGTTAAGTTGTTTCTTCTGTGTCTCACCTGACCAACACACCCAGACCTAACTTATTTCCAGATTGGGTCTCTCCTAGAGCGTGCCTGTCTTGGTAGGAATAAACTGGACACAGACAAGAGCCTCCAGGGTGTCTGCCTGTATAAACAAGTTTTCTATGAGGGGGACACTGGGTCATAGATTGAACACTTGGGCATTACATCTGTGAAAATAAGTCTATAGTAGATTTCAGTAATTTTCAAGTATCTAATTATGGGGTTTTGGTAGATCCTGGGAATTTATTGCATTATTTGAAGGAAATAAATGAAAGAATCAGCAAAACATACAGACACACATATAAATATTAAAGATGAAGAGGATAAAGCTGGATTAATTACAAAAAATGTTACCAGACAGGAATTTTTGGTTCTATAATTCTGAAACACTGCAATGCATTAAGAAACCAGTACATCAAGGGTGTCACCTGTCTAGGGTAGGGTAATATAGAGTAGTGGTTCTCAAATGTGAGCATTGAAGTGACCTGGAGGTTTTGTGAAAACACAGAAGGCCAGTTACATTCCCAGGATTTCTGATTCAGTAAGTTTGGTGTGGGTTCTGAGAATCCAAATTTCTAATAACTTACTTTCTATAGGTTCCAATAGTTTCCCAAGTCATGCTGACGCTGCCTCCTGAGAAGTATTTTCAGAATCACTGAGAAAAATGTATGAAATACATTTCATACATAGAGTCTTTGCTCTATGTCAGTGGTAATTTCCAGTTTGTTTATTTTATTGAGAAAGAGAAGGTAATTAATTAATTAAGCAATTAATATTTATTTATTTATTTATTTATTTATTTATTTATTTATTTATATTTGAGATGGAGTTTCACTCTGTTTGTTTCCCAGGCCGGAGTACAGTGACATGATCTCAGCTCACTGCAACCTCCGCCTCCCAGGTTCAAGCAATTCTCATGCCTCCGCCTCCCGAGTAGCTGTGATTACAGGCATGTGCCACTATGTCTGGCTAAGTTTTGTGTTTTTAGTAGAGACAGGGTTTCACCATGTTGGTCAGGTTGGTCTTGAACTCCTGACCTCAAGTGATCTGCCCACCTCGGCCTCCCAAAATGCTGGAATTACAGGCATGAGCCACTGCGCCCCGCCCAATTAATATTTAAAAGTCTAAGTAAATGAAAGGGGAACAACATGGCTCAATGGAGAAAATGTCTAATTTATGTAATATCATTGTTATATTGTACAAAATGGATGCACCTTAGGTGATTTAAGCATTCTGAAAAGACCAGGCTTTCTAGGATACTGCTACATTTTAGGAGATTAGAAATCAATGGAATTGGCACAGTCTTTGTCTGTTGAGTGGGTTTTCATGGGTGTTCATTGTACATCTTTAAAATGAGTAAATGATTATATACATGAATAAAATCAAACAAGAACAAGCCTATACTAACGACGAAGAACCAAAATTTAGGATTAATTTGATTTAGTGTTGTTTAGGATGGTTTCTAAAAAAGATCAAGTTCCTATCACAAATTGTTCTGTTTAGAATTCTACACTAGGTTTCCCTAAGCATTCCTCAAGTGATAAAAATGCAAGTTATGAAGAAGGGACACACAGGAACTAGAAGCACTTGTCAGTGTTTTAGTTCTGGTGGTTGATTCATGTTATATATAGAAAGAATATACACATTATGTGAGAAAAGGCCAAGGAAGGACCGATAATGCGAGTGGAATACATTCTGAAATGTGTTTTATGATCAAAGTATCTGTGACCTACAGCGGTCCACTACAAAGAGGGATTTAAGTGTTTACATCTGTAGGAATGCCTACAGATAGATTTCAGTGATATTCAGGAATCAGGTTCTCAGTCCTTGGTGCTTCATGGATTTTGATTTTGTTGTTATTCAATAAGTGAAAGAATAAACAAATATGTCAATGTATAACAATGAATAGAATGAAGTGTATCTAACTACGAAAATATGGAGTGAGGCAAGAATTATTGTTAATATACGTAGAACCACTGGAGTTCATCAAATAATGATATCTTTACCCCAATATGTAACCCCTTAATGCATGAAAGGGGTTACATTTTGGGATAAGGTTAAGTAGGCAAGGTAGTGATGTATAGTAGTCAGGGTGCTTGCTTTGAGTCTGTGACAAGTTCAAGTGGTTACTTACTGCAGAGGGAAAAAGATAAATTATGCCATAAAATAATAAATATCTAAATGATTGAGGAAATGAAATGGGGAAGGCATGTATCAGTGGAAAGAATATCTCAGCTTTCTATTATTTGCATTGCTTATATTTCTCAGAATGAAAGCTCCTAGCACATTCTCCTGTGGTCATGAACTCTGTGTTAGGAGCATAGAAACCAATGTAAGAGTCAAAGCACTTCTCTTATTATGAGTGGTTTGTTTAAAAATACTCACTGTACTATTTACAAAACATGTTAAGGTTAGTCAAAGAAGTTGATTATGGTGTACTATGGCATTGATGTGAAATGTATGTTCATTAATGGATATGTACAACACAAATTAATTAATGAAGGTTATAGATACTGAGTGAATTTACTCTGTAGACAATTGTTATGGATATTTAAGAATATTGTTCTATGGAATTTGTGATTCATACACATTTATATTATTGTAATTATTCTATTGAAGAACTAATAAATCAACAAATATAGAAATGGATGAGGAAAAAGATGTCAAATCCTGAACCAGTGGTGATGGCTGGTGGCATATTTAGTCACAGATGATGAATAAATACATGCCTGAAACTCTGAGGTTAGTACCTAGACAGAGATCTAGTCTGTTATTTTTGATGGATGTAGTCCTGTAGAATGATTAGTTATGCACGAAGGTAATGTTCTTGGGCTTTTGTAGTTTATGAATTTTGATTGTATTGTTACAAAACAATTAATGACAAAGTTTATACAACTGCGTGAAGATGAAGACGGTGAAACATTGTCCAATTATGAAATATGAGGTGAGGACTGAAATACTATTAATATAATTTGAAAGTCCTAAGGTCCATAAGTAAATAAGTGTCACCTCTTTGGTACAGTATCATATAGACCAGGGGTCCCTGACCTCAGGGCTGCAGACCAGTACCAGTGCCTGGCGTGTTAGGAACCAGGCCACACAGCAGGAGGTGAGTGGCGGGCGAGCAAGCATTACCACCTGAGCTCCATCTCTTGTCAGATCAGTAGTGGCATAAATTAGATTCTCGTAGGAGCAGAACCTGTTGTGAACGGTGCGTGCCAGGGATCTAGGTCACATGCTACTTATGAGAATCTAATTCCTATGATCTGAGGTAGAACAGTTTCATCTGGAAACAACCCCTCCCTGGCCTGGTCCATGGGAAGTTTGTCTTCTACAAAACCCATCCTGGGTGCCCAAAATGTTGGGGACCACTGGTGTAGACAGTGAGAAGTAACAGTTAATGTTATTGTTCTGCATCAATGGCAAGTACCATCCTGTCCTATTTTTAGAAAAGACAAATAATAACATCAATTAGTAAATATTTATGTGACTAAATAAATGAAAGTTTGAAAGCCATTGTGAATGGAGAGAATGTCTCAATTTTTTAATCACTGGTTCTCCTTTGTATTCCTAAAGGTGGAAGCTGTCTGCAGTAGGAGCATGGAGACCAATGTGAGTAACAATCACATTTTGTCTCGGTTTGCGTGGTTTATCTCAGGGTATTCATTTTATAATGGCATTTGAAATATAATCAAACAGGGCCAAATGCACCCCAGTAATGAAGTTGGGATTGATGTATATTATGTTCTTTGATGTATATAAAACATTGAGTCTTTCTGTATCAATCAAGTTTTGTTTTCTGGGTTGGTTGCAAGTTTGATATTGTTCCTGTTCTTGAGACAGAGAGAAAGAATACAAATATATAATGAAAAATTAATAAATAAGTAAATGAAATTTGGAAAGGAGGGATAAATGCAGATAAGGTCTTAATTTTTTTTATCACATGTTCTGCTTTGTAATCCTAGAATGGATGCTCTTAAACTGATTTAAGCATGCTTCCATGGTCACAAGCCCTATGGTTGCCACGGGGCATTAGGAGCATGGAGACCAATGTGAGTAATAATCAAAGTTTGCATTTTGGTGTGGGTTGTTTGCTTAAGGGTATTATTCACTCACTGTATTATTGAAAAGAGTGAAATATGATCAGAGAAGACCAATTGTTGTACAGTGACAAAATTGATATAAAGCCCTATATAAATTAATGGATATATGAAAAACTGAAGATAATTAATAAAGGAGATACGTTGATGTAAGATGACTTTATATACGGACTAGAAATATCAAGGGCCTCCTTGAGTTTTGTGAATATAGGGCTTTAAAATTATTAGTGAATGAATTAACTAATCAATGGATAATGTGGAAGTGAGTGGAGAAAAAGAGAACAAGTCCTGGATCAATGATGTGATGACCACTAGTGGCGTATGAATCTTATGTGGCATATGAGTCTTATATAGTGAATACGTGTTTGAAACTCTGAGGTCTGTTGGGGAAGATACATGGCCCATACTCTCTTTCAAATTATGCTACATAAATGTTTCAGAAATGTTTTTCTTTGTGATAATTTCATTCTATTTTTATAATTGGATCAATGTGAGAATCAATAAACAAATATATAAATAAAGATAAGGTAGATGAAGCATTGTTCAGGTATGGCAGGATATATTATTAATATGTATTGAAAACAGTGAAGTCCAAAGAGAAATAAATGGCACATGCCTGTCACCTCTTTGGCCAATGATGACATAGATAGTATAATTATAGACAATGTTCAATTTTTTGATTAGTGGCAAGTTCAAAATTGTTCATTTTCTTAAGAGAAAATGAAATAAATATACCCAGATAATTACTGCCTAAATGACCAACTAAATGAAAGGTGAAAGGCAAAGATCAATGGTGATAATGTCTCAAATTTGTGATGTCTCATCTTGGTGATAATGTCTCATCTTCTCTGCTCTGTACTCCTCAGAATGAACCTAATTGTACTGTTTTAAGAATTCTTCCATGGTCCTCTGTTTGCACCATGCTTAGGAAGGAGCATGCGGACCCAGGTGATTAATGATCAAAGTTCTTGTCTTGGTGGTTTGTTGAAGAGTATGTCAGGTATTATAAAAAAGTTTGTAATAGGCTGAGCGTGGTGACTCACACCTGTAATCCAAGCACTTTGGGAGGCTGAGGCGGGTGAATCACCTGAGGTCAGGAGTTTGAGATCAGCTTGGCCAACATGGTGAAACCCCGCCTCTACTAAAAATACAAAAATCAGCTGGGTATGGTGGCCGGTAATTCCAGCTACTCAGGAGGCTGAGGGAGGAGAATCACTTGAACCCGGGAGGAGGAGGTTGCAGTGAGCTGAGATTGCATTATTGCACTCCAGCCTGGGCAACAGAGTGAGACTCCATTTCAAAAAAAAAAAAAAAAAAAGTTTATGATACAAAGATGGCCAATGTTATCCCAAAGATAGATATGAGAGTTATGTAAAGTATTATATTGATAATGCATAGATGAAAAACTGAGGACAATTATATCAATGTTAGAATGATTCTACATACATATATGGAATATCCAGGTTATTCTTGTTTTTTTTTTTTTAATCATAGGGACTTATTAGTGAGTTAACAAGTCAGTCAGTAGACAAGATAGAAATGAGTGGAAAAGGAGATGATCAGTCCTGGATCGATGATGACTGCTGGTGGCGTATGAGTCTTACATGATGAATACGTGTCTGGAACTCTGAGGTCCATCACAAAAGAAACTGGGCTCCTTCTGTAGTTTGAAATGATCCTATGTATATAGATGTCAGAGATACAGAATTTATTTGTTTTTGGTCTTTGTTTTTACTTATTTTCATTGTATTTTTATAGTTGCTCAATGTGAGAACCTATATATATATATAATTTCCATATATTACATAAAAAGATGAATAATGTTAATCATTGCCCAATTATTAAAATCTGTAGTGAGGCAAGAAACATTTCATATGTATTGAAAACATGGAGTCCAAAGAGAAATAAATGGGACATGCCTGTCACCTCTTTGGCCAATGATGATATAGCCAGTATAATTATAGACAGTGTTCAAATTCTTGGCCAGTAGCAAGATCGAATTTGTTAATTTTCTTAACAGAAAATGAAATTACTACGATTAATGAAATGAAATTTTCTTAACAGACAATGAAATTAATATGAAATCCAAATAATGATTGCATAAATGGCTAATTATAGGTGAAAAGCAAGAATCAATGGTGACAATGTCTCAAATTTGTTATCATCTTCTCTGTACTCATCAGAATGGATGTCCTTGTTCTAATTTGAGGATGCCTCCAAGGTCATGTACTCTGTTTGCACCATGCTTAGGAAGCAGCGTGCAGACCAATGTGAATAATAGTCAAAGTCCTTACCTTGGTTTGGGTGGTTTGTTTAAGAGTAATCAATGTATTATTTAAAAACGTGAAATACAGTCAAAGATGGCCAATGTTATTCCAGTGACACAGGAGTGACATGAAGTATTATATTGATGATGCATATACATAAAACAGGATAGTTAATGAAACACACCAGTGTTTGAGTGATTCTGTATACTGATGTGGAGTATCAAGAGTGTTACTGAGTTTTGTGAATCATGGGCCTTGAAAGTATTATTAGTGAATGAATGACTTAATCAATAGACAAGGTAGAAATGAATAGCAAAAAAAGATTGACCCTGAGTCAGTGATGACTACTGGTAGTGTATGAGTTATATATGATGAATACATATCTGGAACTCTGAGGTCCATCACAAAAGAAATCTGGCCCATTCCTTTTGATTCAGATGATCCTATGAATATGCAATGTGTTTGCTTTTGGTCTTTGGATTTGTTCACTTCATTGTATTATTATAATTGGATCAATGAACTAATTTATACATATACATGTACATATATGAAGGGGATGAAGTATTGTCCAATTATAAAATAAATGGTGAGGCAAGATGTACTATTATTTTTATATTAAAGCATTATATTAAAGCTTTAATATATTAAATAAATATCTAATATTAATGCATAATAAATGCAATATTTAATATACATTAAATATAATAATATATTAAAATATTATATTAAAGCACTGAAGTCCCAAGAGAAATAAATGTTACACCACTGTAACTTCTTTGACTAAGGATGATACAGATGGTATTTATAGATAATGGTCAACCTCAGGGTCAAGGAAAGTTGCACAAGGTGTTCATTTTCTTAAGAGAAAATGAAATAAGTATCCTTCAGATAATGATTTCTCAAATATCTTCCTAAAGGGAAGATGATAAACACAGATCAAGGAGGACTGTTTAATCTGTTTGTGATGTGCTCTGCATTGTGGCCTCAGGATGGATGTTTGCCAGCCGATTCCATGGTTACAAGCTCTACAGCTGCATCTATGTTAGGAGCATGAAGACCAATGTGAGTAATAGTCAAGCTCCTTCTTGTTTTGACCATTTAAAAATGTTATTTGCTATATTATTAAAAAGTATTAAACACAATAAAAGAAGGTGAAATATGCAATAATTAAAATTAGATTAAAAACTTTAGGTTAATTAATGCATATGTGAAACATTGAGCTCAGTTAATGAAAGAAATATGGTCTTTGTGGAAATGATTATATGAATGAATGCTAGGAATATTCAGGAATCTTATTCTCTTTTTGAAGACTTATGTGTATTTCCTTGTTAGTGAATTAGTCAACAAACAAATTAAGATGGTAATAGAGAAAGAGGGCTGATCCTGGACCAGTGATGGCGACTGGTGGTGTGTGAGTCATGCACAGTGAATATCATGTGTTGGGAACTCTGAGGTCCAATACAATGGGATCTTGTCCATTCCCCCTTATAAACAGATGTCAGGATACAGGATATACAAGGATCTTCTTCATGATCTTTGTGCTCATGAATTTAAAAAATATCATTGTAAAAGAATCAAAGGCAGGATGAATAAATCAGTGTGTAAATGAAGAAGATGAGGTGAAGCATTGTTTATTACTAAAATATGTACTAAGAAAAATGTATTTTAATTTAAACTGGAATGGATAATATAGGCATGGATGAAAGATATTATGTCTTGGACCAAAAATAACATAGATTGTGATAGGTTATAGTTATTACTTTCAATTAGTTGCAGCCTTGAAGTCTATTTTATTAATAACTATTACCGTTAATTAATAAAAGCCAAAGTGACAATGTAAATGAATGGTGAAGTGTATGGATTGATGGAAAGAATGTCTCAATATTTTGATTGTCTTCTCTGCTTTGCACTCTTCAGAATGGATGCACTGAGCTGATTATGAATTTAGCCCTGATCAAGACTTGTGTTGCTGTCGTGCTATGAAAGATTCCAGTGTGAGTAATAGCCACGATCTTGTGTTGTTTGGGTGGTTTGTTTAAGGATATTTACTGTGTCACTGAAAATTTTAAAAAGTCAGATAATATGTATATATATATAATGAATGTCAATTATAGACTTGAATTATGGGAACCATAAACTTTTATAATTATTACACATGAATTACTGAATTAATCAACGAATAATGTCTAACTGAATGAAGAGAAAGTGGGCCCTTCCTGGACCAATGATGATAAATACCGGCGTATGAGTCTTGGATGATGAATAATACATGTCTGGAACTCTGAGGTCCAACACAAAAGAAAGCCAGTTTTTTCCGCTCATGTATTTTCACTCTGTTATTATAATTGGATCAATAAAAGAATCAATGAACAAATATATAACTAAATAAAGATGACTCGTGTGAAGCATTGTCCAATTATAAAAATAGATGATGTGGCAAGAAATAATATTAATATATACTGGAAACTCTGAACTTCAAAGAGAAATAAATGGTACATGATTGTTAAATCTTTGGCTAAGTATGATGTAGACAGTAATAGGTAAATATCTGTGTTCATTTTCTGGGTCAGTGGCAAGATTGACATTGTTAGCCTACATAGGAGAAAAATAAACATTATTACAAATTACTAATTATGTATGACTGAATACCTGAAAAGAGGAATTGAAGGACCAGTGGAAAGAATGTTACAACCTTTTAAAATCATCTGCTCTGCTCTGTGATCCTCAGAATGAAAGCACTTGAGTTGATTCAAGCACTCTTCTATGGTCATGATCTCTGTGGTTGCCTCTGTGTGTTAGGAGCATACAGACCAATGTGAGTAGTAATTAATGTTGTTATACCAAATCCAGCAGCTTTTAGAATGGTATTTGCTGCATTATTTTAGAGTTTTAAATATAATCAAATAAGGGAAGTCTGTCCATGTTAAATATCAGATTGATATGAAGCATTATACTGAGTAATGCAGCTCAGTTAATGAAAGAAATTTGGTCTCTGTGGAAAGGATTATATAGATGGATGTTAGGGATATTCAGAATCTAATTCTTATTTTTCTTTTCAGATTTCTGTGTATTTCTTTGTTAATATATTAATCAGTAAATAAATTTAGATGGGAATAGAGAAAGAGGGCTGATCTGGACCAATGATGACCACTGGTGGCGTATGAGTTATGCACATGAATACCATGTTTCTAGAACTCTGAGGTCCAACACAAATGGGATCTAGTCCATTCATCCTTTGTGAAGGGATCCAATGGACAGGTATCAGGATATGCAAGGATCTTTTTCGGGATTTTTGTGTTAGTATTTAAAAAATACTATTTTAAAAGAATCAAGGGCAGGATAAATAAATGAACGTATAAACGAATAGAAATGAAGAGAGTGAAGCGTTGTTTATTGCTAAAATATGTAATAAAGAAAATGGACTATTGGTGTAAGTTAGAATGGATAATATATGGATGGAATTTATTATGTCTTGGACTAAAGATGACATCAACTGTGATGAATAATAGTTATTACTCTCAGTCAGTTACACATTTGAAGTTCATTTTATTGAGAGAAAAATAAGCAAATATTTCTATAAATTATTATTATTATTATTATTATTACTTTGAGACAGAGTTTGGCTCTTGTCACCCAGGTTGGTCTGCAGTGGCACAATTTTGGCTCGCTGCACCCTCAGCCTGCTAGGTTCAAGTGATTCCCCTGTCTCAGATTCCCAGGTAGCTGGGATTACAGGCGCCCGCCACCACGCCTGGCTAATTTTTGTATTTTTAGTACAGATGGGGTTTCACCATGTTGGCCAGGCTGATCTTGAGCTCCTGACCTCAGATGATCCACCCACCTCAGCCTCCCAGAGTGCTGGGATTATAGGCGTGAGCCACTGTGCCTGGCCCCATAAATTTTTAAAAACCAAAAAGATAGCACAAACGAATAGTGGAATATATCAGTCAGTGGAGAGAAATTCTCAATCTTTTATCATCTTCTCTGCTTTGTATGAAGATGGATCAGAATGAATGCATCAAGTGGGCTTAAGCATTCTGCTTGATGGAAAGCTGTATTGCTGTTGTGTTTGGAAAGAAACTAACGTGAGTAATAGCCAAAATTTTGGTCTTCCTTTGGGTACTTGACTAAAGGTATTCATAGTATTATTAAAAATTTTAAATTATTATAAAGTTAACCATGGCCCAATGGTTAAAATAATATAGAACAGTATGTTTATTAATCAATAATGTGCCACATAGAGGTGAATGAATGAAAGTGACATTGTCTAATGTGGAAAGGATTCTGTAGACAGACGCTTGGTATGTCTGGCATCATGTTCATAGGTTTTTGTGAATCATGTTCTTACTTTACTCTTATAAGTTGATTAATGATTTATTCAAAACAAAAGTAGAAATATATGAAAATTGAGACCAATGATGGCGTGAGCCATATACAATGAGTTAGACATGTCTGGACTTTGATGTCCAACACAAAAGACATATAGTCTATATTCTTGATATAAGGCATCCTCTAGGCCCATGTTGAGAATATCCAAGGATCTTGCGCTTGATCTTTGGGTTCATATATTTTCATTCCAGTATTATAATTGGATCAATGAAATAACCAATCAATAAGTAAATTAATGAAGTATTGTTCAAATTAAAAATATGTAGTGAGCAAAGAAACACTACTAATATATTATGAAAACACTGAACTCTAATTTGAAATAATTTTACATGACTTTTACCTCCTTAGCTCAGAATGGTGTAGATGGTATAAGTTACAGACACTGTTCATGTTCTGGACAGATGGCGATTTTGAATTTGTTCATTCTCTTAAGAGAAAAAAATACTCGAAATGTGTGATTACTGAAATGACTGACTGAAGGTGAAAAGCAAGGATCAGTGGAGAGAAAGTCCCAGATGTCTGTTCTCCTTCTTCGTTTTAAAATCATCTGTTCTGTCCTGTATTTCTCACACTGGACCCATCTGAGCTGATTTAAGAATTCTTCCATGGTTATGACTGTATGATTGAATCTCTATTAAGAGCTTGGAGACCAATGTGAGTAAGAGTCAAAATTTTTGTCATGGCTTGGGTGGTTTGTTTAAGGATGTTCACTATATTTTTAAAAGTGTGAAATATAATCACAAAAGGCCTAATGTAAACATCATGATTTGGGATTAACATGAATCATTATACTGATTAATACATATATGAAAAACTGAGGATAAATAATAAAATTTAAATACTGATTTGTGAATAATGATGGATACCTAACAAATAGGTATGCTTTTGTTGGAGGTTTGTGAATCATCAGCTTTAAAAAATATTATCGGTGAATTTATGAATTAATCAATAAACAATGTTGTAAAGAATGAAGAGAAAGTGGGCCTTCCTGGACCAATGATGACAATTGCCGGCGTATGAGTGTTGGGTGATGAATAATACGTGTGTAGAACTCTGAGGTCCAACATACAAAACACCTCAATAAGCAAGGATCAGTGGAGGAATATCTAATTTAAAAAAAACATCTTCTTTTTTTTTGTACTCCTCAGAGTGATAATCTCGAGGTGATTTATGCATTCTTCCGTGGCCACCAGCCTTATGGTTGCATCTCTGTGTTAGAGCTTAGAGATCAATGTGAGTAATAGTCAAAGTTCTTGGTGTGGTTTAGGTGGTTTAAGGTATTCACTGCATTACTAAAAAGTATCAAATATAGTCACATAAGGCCCGCTGTTACAAATGACACATATGAAGCATTATATTGATTAATACATGTGTGAAAAGCTGAGGATAATTAAAGCAGGAGATACATGGAGATGAGATGATAATATGTACAGATTAAGAATATCAAGGCTGTTCTTGGGGTTTTGTGAATCATAGGGTTTTGATTTATTGTTAGTGAACTAATGATTAAGTCAACAGACAACATAGAAATGAATGGAGAAAAGGAGGCCCAATCCTGGATCGATGATGACCACTGGTGGTGTATGAGTCATACATGATGAATTATGTGTCTGGAACTCTGAGGTCCTTCACAAAAGAAATTGGGTCTTTTTTTTCATTCTTTCTTATGTTATTATTATGACTGGGTCAATGAAAGAATCAGTAAACAAATATATAAATGAATCAAGGTAAAATGGGGGAAACGTCTAATTATAAAAATTTGTAGTGAGGCAAGGAATTTTGTTAATATGTGTAGAAAACACCAAAATCCAAAGAGAAGTAAATGGTGCATAATGGTTTATTTTGGCAAAGGATGATATGGACAGTATTAATTAGGTAATGTTTTTGTTCTGGGTCAGTGGCAAGTTCAAAATTGTTCATTTTAAGAGAAAAGGAAATAAATATACTCCAAGTAATGATTGCCTGAATTAATGACTAAATGGAAGATGATAAGCAAGGATCAATGCAGGATTTTCTCATTTTTTAATCATCTGTTTTGCTCTGTACTCCTCAGAATAGATGCTTTAGAGGTGATTCAATCTCTCATCCCTGCTCACCAGCATGTTGGTTGCATCTCGTTTTGGAGTATGAAGGCCAATATGAGTAATAGTCAATGTTCCTGTCTTTGTTGGTGTAGCTTTTTAAAAAAGATATTTCCTATGTTATTAAAATGTGCTAAATATAACCAAAGAGGCCCAAACATGCCAATTTTACTATCAGATTGATAGACGTATTATAGTGATTGGTCAATATATGGACCAAAGAAGATCATTACCATGGAAGACAGTATGAAGAGATTTAGTCTGTGGAAATGAATCTATAGATGAATGTTAGGAATCTTTATGAATACTATTCTTGTGTTTTCTGACTGATGTGTATTTATTATTAATGAATTAATCAATGGATAAATTTGTATTAGTGTGAAATCAAAGAGATCCTGGACCAATGATGACAACTGGTGTGAGTCATGCATAATGAATACCATGTATCTGGAACTCTGAGGTCCAACACAAATGGCATCTAATCCATTCCCCATTTCGAAGGGATCTTATGCACAGATGTCAGAATCTATGAGGATGTTGTTGTTGATATTTTTGTTCATGAATTTTAAAAATATTATTGTAAATGAATCAAGGACAGAATAAATAAACAAATGTATAAATTAATAGAGATGAAGAGGGTGAAGCATTGTTTATTACTAAACTTCAGAGTAAGGAAAATGAATATTAATAGAAATGGAATGAGTAATAAGTTGATCAAGGATATTATGTCTTGAACTAAGGATGACACAGTTCTTGCTGTCAGTTGCAAGTTTTGAAGTTTATTATGTGAAAAATATATAAATATTAGCATAAATTAGTAAAAGCCTAAAAGGCAGTGCTAACAAATGGTAAACAACGTGGATTAATGGAGAGAACATCTCAATGTTTTTCTGTGCTTTCTACTCTTCAGAATGGATGCAGCAAGCTGTTTCAACCATTCTGTTGGGATCAAGATTGTTGTGTTGCCTCTGTGTTTGGAAAGAGACCAAGGTGAATTACAGTCAAAGTTCTTATCTTGGTTTCAACAATTTGTTTGAGGATATTCTTGGCATTATTATAAAATGTATTAAATTATTCAGTTAGAGAGGAGAGATACGCTCAAGAGAAATATTATACAACATGGTGATTGTAGTTAATGTTATACGTCATATTCTTGAAAAATGCTAGAGAGTAGCTGTTAAGTATTCTCACCACAAAATGATAACTATGAGATGTAATACATATGTCAGTTAGATAGATTCCATATCTAAGTTATTCCATAATATATATATACTTCAGAACATCATGTTGTGCATGATAAATACATACAATTTTATCTGTCAATCAAAAAATTAAAAAGTCTTAAATTAATACACAGTTAACCACAGCTCTGTGATGAGTATGACCTGAAACAGTATGTTGTTTAATTTGTCATGTGCAACATTGAGGTCAATAAATGAAAGAGATCTAGTCTATGTTGAAAGTGACTCTGTAGATGTTATAGATATTCAAAGTCCTTGTTGTTGGCTTTGCATGAACCATGTATTTGTTTTTATTAATGTCATTAATATGATCATTTAATTGATAAAAATGTAGGAACACATGAAGGAGAGGAGACCCAATCATGGACCAATGATGACAAATGGTGGCATTGGAGTTATGGACGATGAATTACATGTGTCTGAAACTCTGAGGTCCAACACAACACATAATTAGTCTGTTCTGTCTGTTGAAATTGAGTTACAGAGAAATGTCAGGAATATATAGATAATATCCATGTATTGATTCCATAGATTGATATTTATTATTATCAATGGATCAATGATAGATTCATTAAACTAATATAAATTAATGTATAACGAACAAGAGGGTCAAGCATTGTCCAATATGAACATATGTGTGGAGGCAAGAAATGTTATTAATCAAAATTTAAAGCACTGACATTCATTTGCAAATAAATGGATAAAAGATATTACCACTTGTGGTAAGAATCATATAGAAATTGATAAGAGTTGATTTTATTGTTCTGGGTTAGTCCCGTGATGGAAGTATTCCTTTGCATAAGATAAATAAATATATATATACACACACACGCACACACACACACACACACATAGTGAACAAATAAATAACTACATGACCTAGTAAATGAAATGCAGAAAGCAGGAATCAAGAATCAATGGAGATAAGGTCTTAATTTTGTTATCATTTGCTCTGCTTCATACCCTTAGAATGAACACGCTCAGGTGATTTAAGCACTCTTCCATGGCTACGAGCTCTGTGGTTGCCTCTGTATATTAAGAGCACAGAGATTAAAGTGAGTAATGACTGACATTCTTTTCTTGGTTTCAATATTTCTTTTATCTTAAGATTATTCACTATATTATTAAAAAGCATGAAATATAATGAATGCAATTATAACTCAGTAATAAATATGAGATGTATGAAATATTATATCCATTAATGCATGTATTAAAAATAGGATAATTAATGAAACTGTTATGTTGATGTTAGAATAATTCTATATAGAAATTAGGGATATAAGGACTCTTCTTGAGTTTTTGTGAGTAGTAACACTATAATTGTATGATATAATGAATTAATCAATAAACAAATGTAGGTGACAGTAGAGTAAAAGGGCCAATCCTAGATCAATGATGACTACTGGTGGCGTATGAGTCATATACGATGAATACGCGTCTAGAACTCTGAGATCCAATGTGAAAGGATGTAATTCATTTACTCTGGTTGAAGTGATGCTGTAGCCAGTTGTCGCGACTATACAAGGATCTTGGTTTTGGTCTTCATGCTATACAGAGAATGTCTTTTGTTTTTTTTTGCCATTTTCTCTGATTTGTATTTCTCGGAATGGACCCACTCAAGCTGACTTGAGAATTCCTCCTTGGTCACAAGCTTTTGGGTTGCATGTCTGCATTAGGAGCCTAGAGAACAATGTGAGTAATAGCTAAAGTTCTTGTCTTGTTTTGCATGGTTTGTTTATGGGCAGTCACTATATTATTAAAAAGTGTGAAATATAATCAAAGAAGGTGAGCTGTAGCTTAGTAATAAGCATGGGATTAATATGAGGTATTATATTTTTTAATGTGTACATGAAATACTACAATTATTATTAACATTAAGAGATATTGAAGTGAGAATGATTTTAAGTACATGTTAGGGATATAAATCTCTTGAATTTTTGTGAATCAGAGTTTTAAAATTATAATTATTAAATCAATAAATAACTTAGAAATGAATTGAGTAAAAGTGGGCCCTTCCTGGATCAATGATGAAACTTGCCAGCATATGAGTCTTGGATAATGAATGATATGTGTGTGGAACTCTGAGGTCCAACACAAAAAGAAAAGTGATGTTTTTTTCCATGCACTTTCATTCTATTATTATAATCAGATCAATAAAAGCATCAATGAACAAAAGTATAAGTAAATCGAGATAAAATAGATGAGGCATTATCCAAATATAGAAATATGTGGGAAGGCAAGAAGTATTATTACTATACATTGAAATCATGAAATTCAATGAGAAATTAATGGTATGTGACTTTTACCTCTTTGGCTAATGATACACAGACAGTTTAAATTATAGGCAATGTTCATGCTCTGAGTCTGCGGCAAATCTGAAGTTGTTCGTTGTTAGAGAAAATGTAATATCCTCCCAAGGAATGTTTGCCTTAATTACCGGCTGAACGGTGGACACAAAGCAGGGAACCATGGCCATAACGTCTCAAATTTTTAATCAACAGTCCTACTTTGTGCACCTCAGAATGGGCTCACTTGAGTTGTCTCAAGCACCCCTTCATGCCCACAGGCTGTACGGTTGCATCTGTGTGTTAGGAGCTTGGAGTCCACTGTAAGTAATAGTCAATGTTCTTGGCTTGAGTACTTTTTTTAAGGATAGTTACTACAGTATTAAAAATTATACAGTATATTAAAGAAGGCCAACTGCAGCCCAGTGACAAACGTGAAATTGATATGGAGCAGTCTATTGATGAATTAATTCAATTAATTCATTTAAGAAAACTGAGGATATTTAGTAAAGGAGGTACATTGACCTGAGAATGATTCTATACACATATTAGGGACATCAAGGCTTTTTTCAGGTTTTGTGCATTATGGCACTTTAAACACATTATTAGTAAATTACTGAATTAATCAATAAACAATGTAGAAACAAATGAAGAAAAGATGGGCCATACCTGGACCAATGATGATGACTGGTGGTATACGACTCAAAGGTATAAGAAGTGTTTTTGTTAGTGGCAAGTTCAGAGTCATTTGTTTCAAGAGAATATGAAATAAATATATTCCAAATAATGATGATTTAAGTGATAAAGGAAAGGTGAAAGGCAAGGATCATTGGAGAAATGTCTGAATTTTTAGATCATCTGTTCTGTTTACACTCCTCAGAATGGCTTCACTCCATCTGATTTAAGCACTCTTCCGTGGCATGTGCACTATGGTTGGTTCTGTGTGTTAGGAGCACGCAGACCATTGGGAGTATGCATTCATTTCCTCTCTTTACAAGGTCCAGTAAGTTGGTGTCAGTGACATACAAGAATCTTTGTGTTCATGCATTCTTTTTTTTGAGATGGAGTCTCTCTCTGTTGCTCAGGCTGGAGTGCAGCAGTGCGATCTCGGCTTACTGCAAGCTCTGCCTCCCAGGTTCAAGCAATTCTCTACCTCCGCCTCTCGAGTAGCTGGGATTACAGGCACCCGCCACCACGCCTGGCTAATTTTTGTATTTTCAGTACAGAGGGGGTTTCACCATCTTGCCCAGGCTGGCTTGAATTCCTGACCTCGTGATCCGCCCTCCTCAACCTCCCAAAGTGCTGGGATTACAGGCATAAGCCGCCACGCCCGGCTGTGTTCATGCATTCTTAAAAATTATAAGGAATCACTGATAGAGTAGATAAACAAATATATAATGAATAAACATCAAGGTGGTAAAGCGTGCTCATTGTTAAAATATACAGGAGGGAAAAATAGTATTAATATAAATTGGAACAAGTGTATTTTGTCTTAGACTAACAGTGATAACTGAAAGTGAGAATTTTGATGATTCACTTGTGTATTTCGTGTTTGATTTATTAAGAGAAAAATAAATATTGATATAAATTTATAAATGCCTGAATGACTATATAAAGGGATGGAGGTGTCTGTGGCTCAATGAAGAGAATATGTAATCCTCTCCTGTGCTCTGATTTGTATGTTCTTCCACGCTCACGAACTCTGTGTTTGTATCTATGTGTTAGGAGCATAGAGACCAGCATCAGCAGTGGTAAAAATTCCGTTGGTTTGAGTGATTCAAAGAATGTCAATCATGCTAATGTTTTATTTCAGGTTGATATGCAGTATTACGTTGATTAATGCTATGTGAAAAACTGAATTCATTTAAAGAAAGGGATTTAGGCTCTTTGTGATAGTATAGATGAATGTGAGTGATATTGAAGAGCTTATTTTTTGTGGTTTATGTGTATGTCTTTATTAATGAATTACTCAATAAACAAGTGTAGGTATGAATGAAGAGAAAGAAGGCCAATCCTGGACCATCGATGACAACTGGTGGCTTACGTGATTGTATATGCTGGTTGTATATGAAGAATAGTACATATCTGAAACTTTGAGGTCCAACACAAATAGAATCTAGTCCATTCCCATATATTATAAAGTGATATAATAGACGGATACCTGAAATGTACAAGGAGTTTGTGATTAGTCTTGTGTGCGAGAGGTTTAAAAATATTGTAAAAGTAGCAATGGCAGAATAAACAAATAAATGTACAAATAAAATAAAACAAATAAAAATGAAAAGGACAAAGCCTTGTTCATTGCTGAAATATGCAGTAAGGAAAATACTGTTAATGTACATTGGAATGGATAATAAATGGAGCAGGTGTATAATATTTCTGACTAAAGATGATAGAGACAATAGTAATAATTACTGATAAGTCATAGCCAGTTATTGCCCCAAGTCAATTACAAGTTTGAAGTTCATAAGAAGAAAAATAAATAAATATTACCATAAATTAATAAATACCTAAACGACTAAGTGAATGAAAGAAAGAAATTATAGATCAACGGACAGAATGTCTCAATCTTTTTATCATCATCTCCACCTAGCACCCTTCCATGCAGATGCAGTTAGCTGATTTGAGCACTCTGCAACAATCAAGTTTCTCATGTTAACTCCGTTCAAAAAGAGATCAATGTGAATATAGTCAGTCAGTGTTCTTGTCTTGGTTTCATTTATGTTTGTGAGTATTCATGGTATTATTAAAAAGTATTAATCAAATAGTTAATAACAAGTATAATGTAAAATATGATGTTGATTAATCCCTAATACTGACATCATTAAATGAAAAAGATGGAATGTATATGGGAAATGGTTGTATTGATAGCTGTTAGCACTATTCTAGCATTTTATTTTTGCATTTTTCTGACTCACTGATTTTCAGTGAATTAGTGATTCAGTCTCTGCAAATGTAAGAGTGAATGAAGAAAAAGTTGGCCAATGAGTACACACAGAACAATGATTACAGATAGTGGTGCAGGAGTCATAAACGATGAGTAATATGTGTGTGGAACTCTGAGCATCAACACGAAACGTATTTATTCTTTCTGTTTGGAATAATCCTATAGACAGATGTTTGGCATACATAAGGACCATGTTCTTATTTTAGATTCATAGATTTAGATTTATTAATATTAAAGAATTAATGATAGGACCATTAAACAAATATAAGTAAACAGATAAAATTGAAGAGAGTGCAGCACTGTTCAGCTATAAAAGTATGTAGTGAGGCAATCAATATTATTAATACAAGTAGAGAAAACTAACATCCATTAAGAAAATATTGGATCAAAGATGTTCCCTCTTTCTTTGGCTTAAAATCATATAGACACTAATAATAGTAAGAATCAATTTTTTTTATTCTGAACCAGTTCCTCTAAGTTCGAGGTTGTCCCTTTTGTTAAGAGAAAAAACATATACTTCATGGAAAATTATTAAGTACCTGAATGATCAAGTAAAAGAAATGCAGACAGCAAGAATTATAGAGGATGAGGTGTCTGTTTTTTAAAATATCGACTCTGCTTTGTTTTCATCAGAATGAGTGCGCTTGAGCCGATTGAAACATTCCTCCTTGCATCTTTGTTCTATGATTGCATCTATTTGTTAGTAGCACAGAGACCAATGTGAGTAATCATTAAAATTCTTCTCTTGGTTTGCATAGTTATTTCAAAATATTCAATGAATTACTAAAAAAGTGTATACTATAATCAAAGATGATGAGTGGTATTCTAGCAATAAATAGGGGACTCATGTGAAGCGTTATATTGATAATGCATCTACGAAAAACTGAGGATAGTGAATGAAACAGCCGTATCCTTATTAGAAGGATTCATTGTAGGGATTAGGAATCTCTAAGCTCTTATTGAGATTTCATGAACCACGATTTTAAAATGTATGGTCAGTGGATTAATAAATCATTAGTAAGTAATCAGAAGTGAGTGGAGAGAAAGAGCACCTATCCTGTGGGTTGATGATGACTACTGGTGGTGTATGAGTCATCTACAATGAATATGTCTCTGGAACTCTGAGGTGTGTCACAAAAGAAATCTAGCCCATTTTCTATGTTTGATACAATCCTTTAGATGGGTATCACGAGCATAGAGTGGGTTTGTTTTTGGTCTTTGTACTCATACATTTTCATTCTATTTTTATTATTGAGTTAATGTGAGAATCAACAAACAAATATAAAAATAAAGATATATTGGCCGGGCGTGGTGGCTCAAGCCTGTAATCCCAGCACTTTGGGAGGCCGAGACGGGCGGATCACAAGGTCAGGAGATCGAGACCATCCTGGCTAACACGGTGAAACCCCATCTCTACTAAAAAATACAAAAAAAACTAGCCGGACGAGGTGGTGGGCGCCTGTAGTCCCAGCTTCTCGGGAGGCTGAGGCAGGAGAATGGCGAAAACCCGGGAGGCGGAGCTTGCAGTGAGCTGAGATCCGGCCACTGCACTCCAGCCTGGGCGACAGAGCGAGACTCCGTCTCAAAAAAAAAAAAAAAAAAAAAAAGATATATTGGGTGAAGTGTTGCACAATTATAAAAATAGATGGTGAGACAAATACTATTAATATGTATTGGAAATAGCGAAGTTCAAAGAGAAATAAATGTTACATGTCTGTCACCTCTTTGGCTAATGATATAGAGAGGATGATTATAGACAGTGTTTGTATTCTGGGTCAGTGGCAAATTCAGAATTGTTCATCTTCTTAAGAGAAAGTGAAATAAATATACTGTAATCTAAATAATGGTAGCCTAAATGACTAAAGAAATGCAAAAAGCAAGGATCAATGGTGATAATGTCTCAAATTTGTTATCATCTTCTCTGCACTGTACTACTCAGAATGGACATCGTTGTTCTGTCTTGAGAATTCCTCTAGGGTCACATGCTCTGTTTGCACCGTGCTTAGGAAGGAACCTGCAGACCAATGTGAGTAATGGTCAGAGTCCTTATTGTGGTTTGGGTGGTTTGTTTAAGAGTAATCAATGTATTATTAAAAAGTGTGAAATATAGTCAAAGATGGTTAATGTTATCCTGATGGTAGACATGGCAGTGACATGAAGTATTATATTGATAATGGATGTATGAAAAACTGAGGATAATTAATGAAACAGATAATATCAATGTTAGAATGATTCTGGATACAGATCAGAAATATCAAGGCTGTTCTTGGAGTTTTTCGAATCATAGGCTTTGAAATTATTATTAGTAAATTAATGAGGCAACCAACAGACAATGTAAAACTGAATGGAGAAAAGGAGGGCCAATCCTGGATCAATGATGACCACCGGTGGCGTATGAGTCATATGTGATGAATACGTGTCTGGAACTCTGAGGTCCGCCACAAAAGATATCTAGTCCATTCGCTCTGTTTTACGTGATTCTATAGACTGATGTCAGGAATATAGAATGAAGTTGTTTTGGTTTCATTTTCATTCTAATGCAAGAATCAATAAACATATAAATAAAGATAAAATAGGGGAGCATTGTACAACTATAAAAATACGTGTTGAGGCAGGAAATACTATTAATGTATATTGAAATTGGTGAAGTCCAAAGAGATATTGTACATACCTGTTACCTCTTTGGCTTATAATAATATAGACAGAATAAATTATAGATAATGTTCAAATTCTTATTCACTTGCAAGATCAAATTGTTCTTTTTCTTAGGAGAAAATGAAATAAATATTAGTCCACCTAATGAATGCCTAAAGGACAGATTAAAGGCAAGGTGAAAAGCAAGGATCATTAATGAGAAAGTCTCAGTTTTGTTACCGTCTCTGCTCTGTATTCCTCAGAATAGATGGCCTGTGCCGACGGAAGGATTCCTCCCTGGTGACGTGGTGTGTCTGCCTCTTGATTGGGAGCAGGCAGACCAATGTGAGTAATGAAGTTCTGGTCTTAGTTTGGGTGGTTTAGTTAGGAGGACTTGATGTATTATTAAAAAGTCTGCACTATAATCAAAAATGGCCAGCTGCAGCCCAGTGATAGAAATAGTAGTGATATGAAGCATTATATTAACAATATGTATTTGAAAACCTGAGAGTAATTAATGAAACATTTATCAGTGTGAGAATGATTCTATATGTAGATAAAGAATATTAATATTAATGCTGTTCTGAGGCATTTGTGAACCAAAGGTTTTAAAATTATTATTAGCGAATTAATGAATTAATCATTAGACAAGGTAAAAGTGCACAGGGAAAAATAGGACACATTCTGGATCGATGATGACTACCGGTGGCGTATGAGTCATACGTGATGAATGCGTGTCTGGAACTCTGAGGTCCGTCACAAGTAAAATCTGGCTTATTCTCGGTTTCGAATGTTGTTATAGACAGATTTTAAAAATATAGAATGTTTGTTTTTTCTATGTGATTATGTACCTTTCTTCTATTTTTATAATTGGATCAATGTGATAATCAGGAAACAAATATATAGTAAATATAAAATGATTGAAACACTGCCCAATTATAAAAATTTGTGGTAAGGTTAGAAATGCTATTAACATGTATTAAAATCAGTGAAGTCTAAAAAGAAATGAATGGTATATGATACAGATAGTATAAATTATAGACAATGTTCATATTCTGAGTCAGTGGTAATTTTGAAGATTTTCATTTTATTAAGAGAAAATAAATAAAACAAATATACTCCAAATAATGATTGCCAAAGTGACTAATAACAGGTGAAAATCAGGGATCAATGTTGAGAATTTTTTTATCTTTTCTGCTTTCTATCCTTTCAGAATGATGCACTTGTTATGATTTGAGAATTCCTCCATGGTCACGTGCTCTGTTTTTATCATGGTTGGGAGCCTACAGACCAATGTGAGTAGTAATAAACATTCTCATCTTGGCTTGAATGGTTTGAATGGTTTGAGAGGACTCGATATTATCAAAATATCGGATTGTCTTGAATCCCTGACCTCAAGTGATCCGCCCACCTCAGCCTCCCAAAGTGTTGGGATTACAGGCATGAACCACAGCATCTGGCCAGAAGCACTCTTGATATCTTTTGACACAGTGAAGTCCACAGAGATATAAATGGCATCTTCTGGTGACCTCTGTGGCTAATGATGGTATAGACAGTACAAATTATAGAAAACATTCAATTTCTGGGTCAATGGCAATTTCAGAATTATGCATTTCTTTAGATAAAATAATATACTGCAAATAATGACTGCCGAAATGACTGACTAATGATAGGTGATAAGAAAGGGTCGGTAGTGACAATATCAAAATAGGATAATAGGATAATATCAAATATATTTAATATTTGATAATAAATATATTTTTTATATTTAAAATAGGATAGTATAAAAATAGAGGATAGGATAGATAATAGGATAATATGGAAATAGAGGATAACAAAAGTTATCTTCTTCTCTGCTCTGTATTCCCTGGAATGATTGCACTTTGCTGATTGAGGGATTCCTTCAAGGCCATGTGCTCTACTTGCACCGTTTTTGGGATGGAGCCTGGAGACCTAGGTAAGGAATAGTGGAAGTCCTCAGCTTGCTTTGGGTGGTTTCTTCCAGAGGGTTCAATATATTATAAAAAGGTGTATACTATAATCAAAGATGAGCAACTGTATTTAAATAAACATGGGCATGATGTGAGGATTATATTGAAGATGCATACAAGAGAAACTGAAGATAATTGATGAAATAAATATTCCTACATATTAGGATTATCATGGCTATTCTTGTGGTTTTGTAAATCATAGGGCTTAAAATTATGATTAGTGAATTAACAAATTAGTCAATAGACAAGGCAGAAATGAATCCAAAAATAGAAGATCAGTTCCGGATCGATGATGACTACTGGTGGCGTATGAGTCTTTTGCGATGAATACGTGTCTAGAACTCTGAGGTCCGTTGCAAACAAAATCTAGCCTGTTCTGTATGTTTGAAATTATTTTACAGACAGCTGTCAGGAGTATAGAATGTATATGTTTTTGGTATTCGTGTTTACATGTTTTGATTCTACTTTTACAATTGATCCATATGAGAATTAATAAACAAATGCAAATCAAGATGAATAAATTCAAGCATTGTCCAATTATAAAAATTAGGGACAAGGTAAGAAACATGATTAATGTATATGAAACAGTGACATCCACAGAGAAATAAACGGTACATTCCTGTGGCTTCTTTGGCTAATGATGGTATAGACAGAATAAAATATAGGTAATGTTCAACTTCTGCATCAGCGACAGTTTCAAAATTATTCATTTTATTTTCAGAAAATGAATTAAATATACTCCAAATAATGATTGCATGAATGGCTAATTAATGATAGCTGAAAAGCAAATATCAATATTGAAAGTGTCTTAATTTTGTTACTCTCTTCTCTGGTCTGTATTCCTCAGAGTGAACAACTTGTGCTATGTTAAGGATTCCTCCATGATCACGTGCCCTGTTTGTACACCATGCTTGGGAAGATGCATGCAGACCAATGTTAGTAATAGTCAAAATTCCTGTGTCGGTTTGTGTGGTTTGCTAAAGAGGACTCAATGTATCATGAAAAAGTGTATTATATAGTCAATGATGGTCAACTATGTCCCAATGGTATTTATGAGAGGTATCTGAAATATTTATTGATAATGCATATATGAAAAACGGAGAAGAATTAATGAAACAGATATATCTATGTTAGAATGATTCTGTGTAAAGATAAGGAATATCAAGTCTGTTCTTAGGGTTTCGTGAATCACAGAGTGTAAAATTATTACCAGTGAATTAATGAATGAATCTAAAGACAACATAGAAATGAATGGAGAGAAAGAGGGTCAACCCTGGATCGATGATGAGTACTGGTGGAGTATGAGTCACATACGATGAATATGTGTCTGGAACTCTGAGGTCCATCACAGAAGTCAGTTTCCCTCAAGTAACTCTAGACAGATGGCAAGAATATAGAATGAATTTTTTTTGTTTATGAGTTTTTATTGTATAATTGGTTCAATGAAAGAATAAAACATGTGAATAAATAAAATAAATAAGCTAAGCATTGTCCAACTATAAAAATGTGTGGTGAGGCGTATTTAATATGTATTTAAATTGATGAAAGCCAAAAAGAAATCTAACATACCTAACCTTTTTGGCCAATAATGAAGAGACAGTATAAATTAATATGCCGTTTTCATGTTCTGGGTTAGTGGCAAGTTCAAAGTTGTTCATACTTCAAATAATGATTGCCTAAATGTTTAACTAAAGATAGGTGAAAAGGAAAGATCAACAATGAGAAAATCACATGTTTGTTATTATTTTCTCTGCTCTGCACTCATCAGAATGGACATACTTGTGAAGATTTAAAGATGCCTCCAAGGTCACGTGCTCTGTTTGCACCATGCTTAGGAAGGAGCATACAGACCAATGTAAGTAATGGTCAAAGCTCTTGTCTTTGTTTGAGTGGTTTAAGATGATTCAGTGTATTATAAAAAGGTATAATATATTATAAAAATATATTGCAGGAATATATTATATATATTTCTATACTATAATGTATTATAAAATACATTATAAGAAGATATAATACATTGTAAAAGATATAATACATTATAGGAATATAATATAGGAATATATTATATATAATATATTCCAATATAGTATAGGAATATAATGCATATATAATATATTCCAACATATTTTAGAACTATAGTCTGTAATATATTCCAATATATTATAGGACTATAATCAAAGATGGCCAACTCTTTCCCAGTTATAGGAGTGATATGAAGTACTATATTGAAAAAGCATATATGAAAAATGGAGAACAATTAATGAAAATATATATCAACACTATGATTCTATGTAGGGATTAGGAATATCAAAGCTCTTGGGCTTTTAAAAACCAAAGATTTTAAAGTTATTATCAGTGAATTAATGAGTTAATTATTAGACAAAGTAAAAATGAATAGAGAAAAATAGGAAGAATCCTGGTTCAGTGGTGACTACTGGTGTCGTCTGAGTCATACGATGAATACGTGTCTGGAACTCTTGAAGTCCATCACAAAGTCAGTTTCTTCTGTTTCACATGATTCTATAGGTAGATGTCAGAAATACAGACTCAGTGTGTTTTTGGTCTTTGTGTTTTATGCAGTTATATTTTATTTTATAATTGGACTAGTGAGAGAATCAATAAGCAAATATTTGAATACATAAAGATGAATAAGGTTAAGTATTGTCCAATTATAAAAATATTTGGCAAGACAGCAAGCACGGTTAATATGTACTGAAACAGTGATAGCCAAGGAAAAATGAGTGATGCATGCCTGTGACCTCTTTGGCGAGTGATAGTGTAGACAGTATAAACTATAGATAATGTTTAAGGTATGGGTCAGTGGCAAGTTCAAAACTGCTAATTTTCTGAAGAGAAAATGAAATACACTTCAAACAATGATTGCCTAAATGACTCATTAGATGAAGATGAATCATGAGCGAGAATGTCCCATTGTATGCTCTGAACTCCTCTGTGCTTTGTGCTCTGCAGAATGGATGAATTGTGCACCTTGAAAAGTTCTTCCCTGACCACTTGAGGCACTTGCATCACGGTTAGGCTCAGGCAGACTAATGTGAGTAATAGTCAACATTTTTGATTTCCTTCTGCTGCCCTTTTAAGAGGACTCATTGTATTATAAAAATTGTGTGACATTATCAAAGATGTCCACATCCCAGTGAAAGATACGGAGATGATATGAAGCATTGTATTGATAATGCATATATAAAAACCTGAGGATAGTTAATTAAGAGGTATATCAATGTTGAAATGATTCAGTATACAAATTAGGAATATTAAAATTATTCTCGGGATTTTTTTGAACCATTAAGACTTAAAATTGCTAGTAGTGAATTAACAAAATCAATCAATAAACAAGGTAGAAATGAATGGAGAAAGAGATGAGCAATCTTGGATCGATGATGACTGCTGGTGGCGTATGAGTCATATGCGATGAATACGTGTCTAGAACTCTGAGGTCCATCACAGAAGAAATCTAGCTCATTTTCTGTGTTTGATATAATCCTTTAGACAGGCATCAGGAATATGAGTTTGGTTTTGGTCTTTGTGTTTACATGTTTTAATTCCATTTTTATAATTGGCCAATATAAAAACCAATAAACAAATATATAAATAAAGATGAGTAAGGTTAATCATTGTCCAATTGTAAAAAATATTTGGTGAGGCAAGAAACACTATTAATATGTATTGAAAATAGTAAAGTCTGGAGAGAAGTAAATGTACATGTCTTTCACCTCTTTGGCTATGGTGATATGGACAGGATAATTATAGACAATGTTCAAATTCTTGGTTAATTGTAAGTTAGAAATTGTTCATTTTTTAAAAAGAAAATGAAATAAGTTTACTCCAAATAATGATAGCATAGATGACTAACTAGTGATAGGTGAAAAACCAGGATTGATAGTTAAAATGCCTCTCTTTTGTTATTATCTTCTTTGCTCTGTACTTAGAATGGACGTACTTATTCTGATTTGAGGACTTCTTCATGGGCACGTGTTCTATTTGCACCATGCTTAGGAAGGAGCATGTGTACCAATGTGAGTGACAGTCAGATTTCTTGTATTTCTTTGGGTAGTTTATGTAAGAGGACTCAATGTACTGTAAATAAATATGTAATATAACCAAAGATGGTGAATTTTATCTAGTGAGGGATATTGGAGTCAAAAGAAGTATTATATTGATAATTCACATACGAAAAACAGGATAATTCATGAAACATATATTAATGTCAGAATGATTAGGGATATCTTTTTGGGGTTCTGTGAGTCATAAGGTTTAAAGTTATTATTAGTAAATTAATGAATTAATCAACAGACAATGTAGAAAATAACAGAGAAAAGAAGGGCCAGTCCTGGATCGATGATGACTGCTGGTGGCGTATGAGTCATAGACAATGAATACGTGTCTGGAACTCTGAGGTCCATCTCAAAAGATACCTAGTCTATTCCCTATTTCAAGTGAACCTACAGACAGATGGCAAAAAACAGAATGTATATGTGTTTGGTTTTCATGTTTATGAATTTTTATTTTATATTTATAATTGGATCAATGAGAGAATCAATTAATAAATATATAAATAAAGATGAATAAGGGCTGGGTGTGGTGGCTTACACCTGTAATCTTAGCACTTTGGGAAGCCAACGCAGGTAGATCTCTTGAGGACAGGAGTTCAAGACCAGCCTGGCCAACATGATGAAACTCCATCTCTACTAAAAATACAAAAATTAGCCTGGCCTGTGCCTCTAATCTGAGCTACTTGGGTGGCTGAGACACATGGATCTCTTGAACCCAGGATTCAAAAATCTGCTTGAACCTGGGAGGTTGCAGTGAGCTAAGATCACGTCACTGCAGCGTGGGCAATAGAGCATGATTCTGTGTCAAAAAAAAAAAAAGATGAATAAGGTTAAGCATTGTCCAATTATAAAAATATGTGGAAAGACAACAAACACTATTAATACATACTGAAATTGGTGACTACTAAAGATAAGTCTTGCATACCTGTTACCTCTTTGAATGAGATAGACAGTATAAATTATTGACCATATTCAAGTTCTGGGTCAGGGACAAGTCCAGAGTTATTTATTTATTTTTTTTATTTTTATTTTTTTTGAGATGAAGTCTCACTCTGTCACCTAGGGTAGAGTGCAATGGCACGATCTCAGCTCACTGCAACCTCCGCCTCATGGGTTCAAGCAATTCTTGTGCCTCAGCCTCCCTAATAGCTGGGATTGCAGGCATGCGCCACCACGCCTGGCTAGTTTTTGTATTTTTAGTAGAGATGGGGGTTCACCATGTTGCTCAGGCTGGTCTTGAACATCTGACCTCAAGTGATCCACCTGCCTTTGCCTCCCAACGTGCTGGGATTACAGGCATGAGCCACCACATCCGGCCAGTTATTCATAAAAAAAAAATGAAATATACCTCAAATTAATGAACATGCAAATGAGTATAAATGTTTACACATTAATTAATTTGAGGTATATTTGAAAAGCAAGGATCAGTGGAGAGAAGGTCTCATTTTTGTTGTCATCTCTTCTGCTCTGTACTCAGAATGGAAGCACAGAAGCTGGTTTTCACTGGTTAAGAGCTATCTCTGTGCTAGAAGCTGGACACCAATGTGAGTAATAGTCAAAGTTCTTATCCCATCTTGGGTGTTTGGTTTAAAGGTTTATAGTGCATAAACAAAAAATATGAAATATAATCCAATAAGGCCATGAGTAGCCTAGGGATAAATATGGAATGGATAGGGAATGTTACACTGAGGGATGCTTGTATGAAAAGCATGTCCTGTGTTATTATGAAAGGTAGTAATGAGGGGATGTGGTATTGTGAGGCTGACTGTATATACAAATTAGAGATATCAAGGCTCCTCTTGGGGTTTTGTGAGTGATAGTGTTTAAAAGTTATTAGTGGTGAATTAATGAAGTAATAAATAAAGTAACAAAGAATGAAGAGCATCAGAGCTAATCCTGGATCAATCATGACTACCGGTATTGGGTGGATCTTAGTCAGTGAATACCTATCTGGAACTCTGAGGTCCATCAGAAAAGAAATACAGTTTTTTCCCTCTTTTGGAAGTGATCATATAGACAGATGTCAGAAATATGCAGGGGTCTTGTTTTTGCTGTTTGTGAGCACGAATTTTCAATCTATTATTATAATTCAATCAATGAAGCAACCACTAAACAAATATACAAATAAATTATGTTGGATGGGACTAAGCATTGTCCAACTATAAAAACAATTTGTGAGGCAAGAAAAACTACGATATGGTCAGGCGTAGTGGCTCACACCCGTAATCCCATCACTTTGGGAGGCCAAAGTGGGTGGATCACCTGAGGTCGGGAGTTTGAGCCCAGCCTGGGCAACATGGTAAAACCCCGTCTCTACTAAAAATACAAAATTAGCTGGGCGTGGTGGCATATGCCTGTGATCCCAGCTACTTGGGAGGCTGAGGCAGGAGAATCGCATGAACCCGGAAGATGGAGGTGGTGGTGAGCTGAGATCACACCACTGCACTTCAACCTGGGCAATAGAGTGAGAAGAAAACCTATGATATATATTGAAAACACCAATACCATTAGGAAATAAGTGGTATGAGGTTGTTATTTCTTTAGTTAGGGATGTTATAGACAGTGATAAATAATAATGAATGTTTATGTGTTGTGTCAGTCGCGTGGCTGATACTGTCTGGCTGTGTAGAGTAAATAAAATAGATGTTATCCCGAATAACCTATATGACTGAATCAGTGGAAGATAGAATGCAAAGAGTAACGCAGATAATGTCTTAATCTTTTCTGATCATCTCTTGTGCTCTGTACTCCTCAAAATAAACACACTCTGGCTGATTTTATCATTCTTTTTTAATGGGAAGATCCATGATTGCATCTATGTGTTACATGGTGTATGGAGACCAATGTGAGTGACAGTCAACGTTCTTGGTTTCAGTGTTTTTTAAAAAAGATATTCGTAGTATTATTAAGAAGTAGAAGTGTTAAATATAATCATTGAAGGTAAGCTTTGGCCCATTCGTAAAAATAGGATTAATATAAAGCATTATGTTGATTAATGCATATATATAAAACATTGAATTTAATTAATGAAAGAGATGTATTGCTGTGAGTAGTATTGACAGAGACAGATATTAGAGCTATTTAAGGATTTTACTCTCAAGTTTTTGTGGCTCTAAGGTAATTATTTTATTGTTAGTGAACTGATAAGTTAATCAATAAAAACACGTAGACATGAATTAAGAAAACGAGGTCCAAGCTTGAGCCGGTGATGACAGCTGGTGGCGTGTGAGTCATGGATGGTGAGTACTAAGTGCCTGGAACTCTGAGGTTCAATATAATAGAAATCTAATCTATTCCTCTGTTGAAAAAAATCCTTTAGATAGATGTTAGTGATATTGAGGGCTATTTGCTTCCAATTTTACAGTTCATTGATTATGGTTGTATTAATATAAATGAATTAATGAAAGAATCAAACAAAGATTTAAATGATTAAACATGAAGAGAGAGAGGGGCATATTCTAATTGTTAACATATGTGGCAAGGAAAGAAATACTATTAATTAATTTGGAATGGATAATAAATGGGCCATCGGTTTTAACTCTCTGGCTAAGAATCATAGAGCCATTGATAGAGCAGTAACACTGATTATTAGTTATCAATGGCTATGTGATTTTTTAGGTCAATTCGCAGGTCAACTGGGTCAATTGTAAGTTCAATATTTATTTTATTAAGGGGAAAATAAGCAAATATTAACATAAATCAATAAATACCATCTGACAGAGTAAATGGAAGGTAGAATGAAAAAACTAATGGATAGAAAGTCTCACATTTTGTCTTCTGCTCTTCCTTGTAATCCTCAGAACAGTCACTTCCTGCACTGATTCTGCCATGAGCACTTGCTCTATGGCTGTTTTAAGGAACCTGCAGACAAAGGTCAGTAATCGTCAAAGTTCTTGTCTTAGTTTGGGCCATTTAAGAGTGGTCAATGCATTATTAGTAGAAAACATAATTAAAGAAGACTAACCATGGCCCAATGAACATGGGGTTGATATGAAACATTATGTTGAGTAATGCATGTTTGAAACAATGAGGTCAGTTCAAGAAACAGGTCTAATTTCTGTAGGAACTGATCTTCAGATAGACAACAGGGTTATCACAGCTCTTGTTGTATTTTTTTCTGATTCATGTCTATTTCCTTATTATAAAGTAGTAAATTAATAAATAAATGAAATAGACAAAGTATAAATGAAGAAAAAGATTGATGGTCTGTGGCCTGGTCCAGAGATGATGACTCGTGGGTATGAGTCAAGGATGATGAGTAATAGAAGTCAGGAAGTTTAAGCTCCAGTATAAAAGAAATCTAGCCTATTGCTCAGTTGGAAATGATCCTGTAGACAGTAGTTAAAAATATTCAGTTATTGGCTGGGCGCGGTGGCTCACACCTGTAATCCCAGCATTTTGGGAGGCCGAGGTGGGCGGATCACAAGGTTAGGAGTTCGAGACCAGCTTGACCAACATGGTGAAACCCCATCTCTACTAAAAATATAAAAATTAGCTGGGTGTGGTGGCGAGTGCCTATAATCCTACCTACTTGGGAGGCTGAGGCAGGAAAATCACTTAAACCCAAGAGGTGGAGGTTGCAGTGAGCCGAGATTTCACCACTGAACTCCAGCCTGGGCAACAGAGTCAGACCCTGTCTCAAAAAAACAAAAAACAAAAAACCCAAAATCAATTATCCTATACCCTATTCTTATGTTTTTGTAACTCATGGATAATGATTATATTATTACAAGTAAATTAATGCATGAAGAACTCAAGTAAAAGAAATAAGTGAATAAAAACATGGCCACATCTGGACCAAATATAACATGTGTAATAAAGCAAGTCACAGTACTGATCTATTGCTCAGGAAGTGGGAATTGTGTCAGATTTTTAATCTCTCACAATGAGAAACATGTAGACAAATATATGAGTTGTCCATGTTTATGTTGAGTTGTCTTTGGTTTCCTGGTTGTTTGTCTTATCCCTAAATAGGGATGTTGTTTATATAAATAAAACACTAATTTTAAAGAGGGCCAGTGACAAGAATTTGTTCTACAACAAGAGCTATTGTGCTCACTAAATTCCATTACAAAGTGACATCATCTGTTATTACTTTGATCATGATCAACTATGCATGTGCTACGATGATCCATGCTATAGTCTAGATCATGTGTAAGGATACTGATTTTATCTTAATAATGAACAAATGCATGTTAATAATAATCAATTAGCTAAAAAGGATAAAGCAAGGGCCAGTAGCAAACATGTCTGGAAATAATGGTTGTGATGTGACTGGGTCCAGAGATTGTGTTCTTCTTAAAGCAAATATTTTGGCTCTTACAAGTGTTTGCATAAGGAGGTTATACATAGATGCACATTATCAGACACGTTCTGGGTTTCTGAGAGTTTACATATTGTTCTGTTTCTTTACAAAGAATGAATAGTTGGCCAAATTGGTTTGTGAATGAATGAATGAAGTGGTATCAAGCACTGTTCATTGGTATGAAATTGCTCTGAAACAAGTATTTAGATGAATCTAATTATGCATATGGGAGGTCCAAAGATTTAGGTTGTTGAGTGCATGGGTGGAGGCATTGAAGCTGGCATGTTTTGCAGAGAACTCTCATTCTTGATTCAGGTGTTGGATTCAAAGGCATCCATTTAATTTATTTAAGTTCTGGGGTACAAGTGCAGGATGTGGATGTTTGTTACTTGGGTAAACATGTGTCACTGTGGTTTGCTGCACCTATCAACCCATCACCTAGGTATTAAGCCCGGCATGCATTAGCAATTTTTCCTGATGCTCTCCCCACCCTTCCCTGACAGGCGCCAAGGTGTGTTGTTCCTCTCTTGTGTCCATGTGTTCTCATTGTTCCGCTCCCACTTATAAGTGAGAATATGCAGTGTTTGGTTTTCTGTTCCTGCATTAGTTTGCTGAGGATAATGGCTTCCAGCTTCATCCATGTCCCTGCAAAGCACATGCCCTTTAATGGCTGCATAGTATTCCATAGTGTATATGTATCACATTTTCCTTATCCAGTCTATCATTGATGGCCATTTGGGTTGATTTCATGTATTTGCTGTTGCAAATAGTGCTGCAATGAACATACATGTGCATGTATCTTTATAATGGAATGATTTCTATTCCTTTGGGTATATACCCAGTAATGGAATTGCTGGGTCAAATGGTATTTCTGCTTCTAAATCTTTAAGGAATCACCACACTGTCTTCCACAATGGTTGAACAAACAGTGTAAAAGCTTTCTTATTTCTCTTTAACTTTGTTGGCGTCTGTTTTTTCTTGACTTTTTAATAATTGCCATTCTGACTGGTATGAGGTAGTATCTCACTGTGGTTTTGATTTGTATTTCTCTGATGATCAGTGATGTTGAGCTTTTTTTCTTGTTTGTTGGCTGCATGTATGTCTTCTTTTGCAAAGTGTCTGTTCATGTTCTTTGCCCACTTTTTAATGGGGCTGTTTGTTTTTTTCTTGTCAATTTGCTTAAGTTCCTTGTAGATTCTGGATATTAGAACTTTGTCAGATGGATAGATTGCAAATTTTTTCTCCCATTCTGTAGGTTGTCTGTTCACTCTGATGATAGTTTCTTTTGCTGTGCAGAAACTCATTAGTTTAATTAGATTCCACATGTCAATTTTTGCTTTTGTTGCAATTGCAAAGGCATCTATTTCAAATGCAAAATTAATAATTGAATTAATGTGACAAAAAAGAGGAACTTTCTGGCTAATTGTAAAAAGAGCATGACCCAATTATAAAAATTAATCTAAACTTGCTCACCTTTCATTTATTAGAATATTAGAGCACAGTCAAAATTTAAGATGTTTCATTCTTTTTACCATTTGCTTTCTGCCCTCCAGAATGGATTATCATTGGTGAAGACCTTGGCTGGTAAGTCTCTGGGAAAGAAGGCTATAGGCCCATAAATATAATGTGCAAAGTTCTTGTTCTTGGGTGGGGTGTTTACTCCGAGGTATTCATTGTATTATAAAATAATGCATAAATGACTACATCTATATACAGAATTAAAAAAGAACAGGGATGAGAGTGTGTTACATACCAAAAATTAGAATGAGTCCAATCAGAACATCTGTGGAATTATATATTTTTAATATGCCGAAACACTGAATTTTATGAATAAATTAATAAATCAGGAATGTTCCTTCTTTTAGTAAGGATCATATACACAAAGAATAGTAATAGTCAACGTTTTTGCTCTGGGAGAATGGTGAGTTCAAGTTTGTTTTGTTAAGAGAAGCAAATAAATAATTTCACAAATTTACCAATATCTAATTACAAATAGCTAAGCAAATCAAGGAGGGAAACATGGATCAGTTTTTGATATTTTCACTCCCTTTTTATAAGGGATATTCCTGCATATTTTGTGTATAAGTTTTTAAAGGTATAAAATAATACATATTTATTTTTCCTTTTTTTCACCATCTGCTTTCAATTCCATAGAATGAACACACTCATCATTACAATGATTCTGTAATGATGAAGACATTCATGGGTCAGTGTGAGTAATGATCCAAGTTCTTGTCATTGTTGGATGGTCCATTTAGGGTATGTAGTGTATGATAATAATAACACATAATCAGTGAAGGCTACATAAGGACCAATGGTAAGATTGTATTATAAATCAAGTTTCATGATGACTACTGTTTTGCACAACAGAAGTCCTTTTTAAAAGAGGAGCTCTACATTTTTAGCTCTGTGGGTATGGAATATGGAGTCAGATGTATGTAACTCTCATAGTTTTTATGTTAGGTGGTTCATTTAAGGGTATTCCTGATATTGTTAAAATGGATAATATGTTAATTAATAAGATGGCGCTCCATGCACAAACCAGAGATAAGAATGTGGCATAAATCATTGTTTGTGATCAATTTCTATGATGGTTACTTCATGTTCACTAAATCGAAACCTAAATCTAGGTCTTTTCATTTGGTAATATCCTCTTTCATTTGGTAATATCCTCTACAGGATGGATAGACCAGAGCTGATTAAATTATTCTTCCATGATGAGGAACTTTACCTTATCCCTCGGAGTAAGGAGAATGTCATGCAATGTAAGTAATAAAGTTCTTGGGTTGGGTTGTTAGTTCATGATTTCTACTGTCATTTAAAAAGATAATTAAATTTTAAAAGGTCATGCATAGGCCTATGATGAGAATGTGTTATGGACCGAAACTAATCCAATTTAGCACAAGTGAAGTATAAGGAAAAAAAACTTAGCTTTTCCATTCATTTTCAATAGTTAAATGTCACATTATATGTTTGTCTCACTGATTATTTATAGACTCTTCTCTTGATAAAGGCTGTTACTCATTTATGGAGTCAGTATTCTAGTTGTTGAGTAGGATGGTGGTTCAAGCTTGTTCATTTGATATCTAAAAATGTTTCAAATTAAATGTAGAGGGGCCATGTGTGGACCGATGATGTGAACGGAATGCATCTGAATAAAAATTATGATCAATCATTTTTGAACAACTGAGGTCCACTGCAAAAAGAAGAATTAATATGTAAACCTTTGTGGGAATAATGTCAGGCAAGTTTGAGAATCTAGTTCCGGAGCTTGAGAGGGTTCACAGATACTGATTTTATACAATTAGCAGATCCACTTCTGTGGATCAACACACAAGTATATTCATGAGTAAAGAAAAGGAGGTTAAGACATGGACCAATTCTGAAGGCATGTTGTAAAGCAAGGAATATAATTAATTCAGTTCTGAAATACCTTGGTCCATCAAGAAAAAGAAAACAGATTAAATTTGTCACCACTTTGGGTAAGAAGCATCTAGATAGAAGTATTTAATAGTCAATGTTCTGCTCCTAGTTTGCTGTGGGTTCCCAGATGTTTGATTCATTAAGACAAAAAAAATTAAAATTAAACAAACAAATACGTGTATAGCTAAATAAATGGGTGCCAAGTATGAACCAATGATAAGGGTATTTCATTATTTTCTACCTCTGCTTTGTAAGCCCACAAAACAGAGGTAACTTGGCTGTTTTAATAATTATTTAAAGGATGAAGATCTTGACTGTTACCCATGTGGCCAAGGAGAGTGTAGAACAGGGCAAGTCAGATTAAGTTTTTATTCTTGGTTTAGGCTTTTGTTAGAGATGATGATTATTTATTATTTAAAAAGAAGAAATGACTTTATGCAATCATAAAATCCAAGAAGACCATGCCTGAACCAATGATAAGAATGAATCCTGCCAAGTGTCATTTTGCAAAACGAGATCCATTTAAAAAGAGGTTTGGTTTGCTACCTCTTAGATTAAGGAGATTATAGGCTGTTTCGAGCCTTAGTCAAAGATCTCGTTCTTGGGTTAGTTGTGGTTCTCTTGAGTTTTATTATTTTATTAAAAATAATAAATAGTTAAACAAGTACAAAGCGTTTATGCTAGTAAAATTACAATGGCCACTCATGACCAATTGGGAGATTATACCATGAAACAAGGATTTGTTTAACTTGGATTAACTGTTTTACCACTGTTTGAGGAGGTCATGGAAAGACTTAAATGATAGTCAATTTCTCCCCTCTTTCTTGGGAGTAGATTCTTTGTTGTTGACTTTATATTTGAAAATGAGTAACAATTAATAATTAAGTAAATTAATGAACAACAAAAACATTAGAATGGACAAGAATATTCAAATGATAACATTTCATGAAGCAAGAATTATGATCAACACAATTCTGCTTCTCTGAAATCCATTTAACAGAAAAGAGTCAGTCTGTTTGCTCTGTGTATAATGAGGTCAGAAACCGGTGTTAAAACATTCAGTGTTCTTGTTTTTGTATTTTGTTGGGTTCATGGAGTTGATTATTATGATTAAGGAAATAAGTATATAAAAAAGTAAATTAGAAGAGGGCAAATCATGAACCAGTGGTTAAAATGTGTTTTGAAACAAAGATTATAAGTATTTCAGTTCTGCACCATGGACTTTTATGAAACGAAACCTTCATCTTTTATATCTTTATTTTAATAGTACATAGTACCATTCTGCATATACTACGGATATATTTTAGACATTTTTGCATGCTACTTACATTGAGTTTTCTTCACTATCTCAGTTACAAATTCTAGTGAACCGATGTATTTGGAGGTGGTGTTAGGAAACCCCTATACCCCATATTTTAAAATTTTCTGGCAGGTGATATCGGAGAGAGTACTAAAATAACTAATATTAAGGTATTAATTTCAGCTCAACAAGTATTGATGCTAATTCTTGTCAGACCCCATGTCAGGAGTGGCATTTATATATGAATTTAGTTCCACTCATTAAGTAGCTCTGTGAGATTAGATGGAGACCCACTTATAAATGCAACAATTCAATAGAATAGGGAAGGTAGATGGGCTCTCTGTGAGGTTAGAGGGAGACCCACTTATAAATGCCGCAATTTGATAAGATAGGCCAGGCAGATGGGCTTTCCAGAAGCACAGAAGGTATGCCTTCAACTCAATCTTAGTGTCAGGTGAGTTGTGGAAGAGATGACTCCTGAGCCAGTGACAGACTCACTAGTCTGTAGCTCCGCAAAGCTGGGGACCACACTCCTCTCCTTCACTGCTCTGCCCCTTGTGCCTTACCTGGAGAGCACACACAATAAGCATCTGTTGAATGAGTAGGTGAATACATGGTGAATAAAAGAATGGAGGAGTGAAGCAGTACATGAACAAATGAGTCTTTGAGTAAACACAGGAATGAATAAATGAAGTAATAAAAATGGGAAGGAGTACATGAATGAGTGAATGGATCAATGATAGGTCCATGAGTGACTGAGTCAGTGATAAGTGGATAAATGCATGGTGAGTTAATGAGTGGGTGAGTTCACGTGTCAGTAGAAATGTCACAAAGTGAATGAGTGGATGATGAAAGACTAAGTCAATGAGCAAATGAATGGAAGACTAATAGGTCAAGGAGTCAAGAAATGAAAGACGAACATGTAAATGGATGAGTGAATCAATGGGTCCATGAATTCCTGAATGAATTTATGAATTAACGGATAAATGAAAGTCAATTAGTAATAAGGAAATAAATGAATAGATGAGTCAGTGTATGAATCAATCAATGAGTTAATGACTCAGTGAAGAACCAAATGAATGAATTAATCTATGAATGAGTGAGTTTACAAATGAATAAATCAAAGAAAGAGGAAACAATTGAATAAATTAACTGGGTAGATAAGTCAGTGAATGAAACAAATTATGAGTGAATAGATAGACAAAAGGATGGATAAATGATGGATATTTTATAGCTAATGAATAGAACAGTGAATTAGTGAGTGAGCAAATGAGTCAGTGAATGAGTATGTAATCAAGGAATAAAGTAGCTCTGGGAATGAGTAAGTGAATAAGTGAATGAGTCAATAAATTAGTGAATTAGTCACTTATTGAAGTGTAAGGCAGTGAGTGAATGAACTCACACTGGGACTCTTTCCCTGACTGTTCCACAGAGAATAGTCATGCCCCAGCTTCACACCACAGCATAAATAATCAGAGCACCCACCCTACACTATCGTGGGCATTTGTTTACATGTGATCACTAAACTGATGTGCCGCAGGGGCCAGGAACTGGGTCAAATTATTCTCTCTATCCCTGGTGCCTGCCCAGCTCTGAGCCTCGGAAGAGCACAGTAAATTGTTGCTGAATGAATGAACAATAGCTAAAAATACATGTGCTTTTTTGGAACCAGGATGGGCCGTCTGAGAATGGCCTGGGAGCTGTTCTTTGGGGAGGTGTGCTGTGTGTCAGATGGTTTGTGGCATCCTCCTACGCAAGTGCAGATTCTGCCTTGAGTCCAGCTTCCTGTGTTCAGTGCCAGATAGTGAGACAGGATACTGGCAGTTCAAACTGCCCTGGACGTTGGCCCATCCTTGGGCAATGCTGGCTTGGCATGGTAGAATGGAAGCCCTAGGTCTTCCCGAAAGCTGCCCTTGCCTCTGCCAAGACAGGAGATCAGAAATAACTCGGTCTTGTTTTTATGCCTTCAGCAAGTGGGCCCACTCCATGCCTTTCCAAGCAAACCACATTCCTCCTTGCTGTAGTTGTGGGACATTGGGTTGAAGTACCCCTTAACCTTTATCTGGTAGATGAGAATAACAATCTCCGCCTGGGTGGATGTGCTGCTTTACAGGAGATTATTTAATACATGTTACATACATAGCGTGGTACCTGGGAGGAAGCAGATGTTTCAGAAACGTTACATGCCAATTTTCTTCATCCCCACCCAATGTAGCTATATTTGATGATTTAAAATGCATTAATTTAAAAGCTCTCAAATGGATGTGATACTCAAATTCCCCTCTTCCAGAAGATTGGAGAGTTCAACTGAGTTCTAGGAAGAATGCCAGTCTGGATGGTATTCTGGGTCAGTCCAGAACTTCAAGATGGCATGGCATGCCCTTCTACCAGGGAACAGTCAACCAGAAAAATGAGTTGGCAATATCCACGCTCTACGTAGGACACATACACGAGACCCACCCTTCATCTCTCTACCCTTCCCTCCCTTCCTTCATTCAACATATAGGTATTCAGGGCCCACTGTATGCCTCACACTGACCATTTCTTGTCTTCTCTTGTCTTGGCTGGCTCCTGACCCTGGATTTCATCTCTCACTGCTGTTCTCACGTCCTTCCTTTGAACTTGGCGATTGGTTCTTGGTCATCTGGTGTGAATACTGCCCTCTCCTTCATGAGGACTTGATTTGGGCTTCCTACTTCAGAGCACATCAGGTAGACTCCCCCTTCTTAATTCGGGGCATTGGGGACCCCTATTCTGACTCTTCCAGGTCAGCCGTTTTCCATCTAGGCAAGCTTCAGACCCTTGTAAGAGGAGCTTAGGCTGTGTTGGTGGCAGGGTGACCTCTGAATGCTGGGGTTGGGCGGCAGTGGCAGCATGGAAGGCTTCGGGCTAGACTCTGAGATTCACTTGGTGCCTGAAAGCTGGTCTTTCAGAGGAGTTAGGTTGTCACTGCCCCCCTGTCCACTGAATTCCTTGAATAATGAGGAAAAACGACCTTTCAACATTCAGCAACTTGCAATTAATTTAGTTTTCCCATCCCTCCCACTGGTTACTCAGCCTGTGCTGGGCCTGACACAAATGTCAGCCCCTCTCCTACCTTCACAGCCCCCCGCCCTCTCCCCTAGCTTCCTTCCCACAGTCCTCTGTTCACATCTGCCCTTCCTCACTCCTCCATACCCATGCCAGAACCCACATCACATTGTCTGCTATGAGCTGCCAATTTATCCCAAAGGGCTATGAGCTTCTTGAGGCAGGTGTTCTTTTTATAATTTAATCATTTTTATCATTATAATCCACAGAAGGTCTAGACATCAGGAAATGTTAGGTGAATTAGGTGTTCATCCAGTCATTCATTTATACAAAAGGTGTTGGGCCCTTTCTGTGTGCCACAGGCTGGGTGGTAGAAGTAAGTAATCTATCTTACAAGAAGTAAGACAGATACCACCTCTGCCCTTATAGAGTTCCAAGTCTTGGATAAGAGATTCTAAGCAAATGTTTCTGGCAAAAGAATTTAATTACACTTGTGATAAGTGCTATGAAGCCATGGCTCTGGGGACCGTCATTTGCTCGGCCAGCTGGGTTGGTCCTGATGTTCCCCTTGCTTCTCGCCTTGGCTTTGAGGAGAGCCTGAGAGAAGGACAGGACTCTAGCCATGGTCAGAGATGGCCAGTGGCTTTGGCTCCCTGGGCTCAGGTCCGTGGGGTGTTTGGACATCTAGGAGGAAAGAGGAATGACTGGACCTGGGGGTTTATGCTTGGCTGTTACTTGAGTTCTGCTTGATAATGACCTGGGCGGTTGTCAGCCGTCGAACCCTGCCCTTTGCTCAAGCCCCTCACCTGTTAACAAAGTCCCTGCTGAGTGCCAGGGTTTAGTCTTCCCTGTCAACTTCCAAGTATTTCTCTCAGATATTTTGCCAAATGACAAACTAAAGGTAGACTGGAATATGAGTTGACCTTTTCTTTTTCCTCCGCTGCAGTTCTGAGTTTCTTAAAGTGGTTGCCTGAGAAACAGTGATATCCTGCAGGCAGCTGGGCCACTGGGCATGCGCTGTTCCGAGCACCATCCCTGCTGCCTCCTCCTTCTGCCTTTGTTGTTCAGTCTCCACCCAGGCACCCATCCCTCCTCTGTAGAACCCCCAGTGAGCCCGCAGGTCCCTCTTCTCATCTGCACCACCATGCCACCCAGGCGTCCCTCATCTTGGGCTGGTCTTTCTGCTCCCACCTCCCCTCTGTTCTCTTCCTGGGAGGTGGAGTTAGAGCAGCCTTTCTAGAATGCATGTCCCAGAGTCCCTGCTCCTGAAAGCCCGCTCGTGGCTCCCATAGGCCCCAGGATGGAGCCCCAGCTCCTTGGCCTCCTGCCATGCCTCCCACTACATGCCCCCTGCCCTTGTGTGCTGCCTGGCAGAGCCTCCCCGGGTCTCCGGGCGTGTGCGTCTCTGTGCCTTTGCCCCGACCCCCTCTCTGTGGCCACCCTCCCACTGCTCCATGGATGCCAGACTGCTCTTGCTTCTCTCCCTGTGGTGGGCTATGTTGCCCCACACTCTGAACTGTTGCATGGTCATGAACTTGACCTTCATTCATAACATTTGTTGCTGGGTCATGATTTGTTTAGGTGTCTGCTTCCACAACCAGACCTTCGGCTCCCTGAGTATAGGTGCTCTGTCCTGGTCATCTCAGACTCCCCCACTGTCCAGTATAGAACCCAGTGCAGAGGGGCCGATCATTAAGAACGTCAGTTGAATGAAGGAATGAGTGGATGCACAAAAGGATAGTTGTACCGTCATACTGGGGCACAAATTATATCCCTGGCGGAGAACTGGGTTCACTGGCATGGCGGAATATCACCTCCTTCTCCAGCCAACTCCACTTTGCCTTCCACCTGCGACTCATTAAGAGATATGTAACCTTAATCCTTGAAATTGCCTGGGACGGAGCATGTTTTCACTCAATGGCATGGACATGGGGATTTTATTCCTCTCTTAAATAAATCTCACTCCCCTAGGAAGCTTGGACAGGATGTGGGCAATCGAACTAGGGCTTGAAACTGAACGTTTTGCAAAAGGCCCCTTTCGAAATCTGAAACCCTGTGGCCACTGGCCAGAGCTGAGTCTGGCTTGTGGGGGTCGCGGGGGCCTCCTCTCAAAGAAGGGAAGGGAAGATTGAAAATAAACCTAGGCTGATGGTTTGTGAGACAGAATTCTGAGGTCTGGTTTTGCTTCTCTGACGAAACTTGAGTGAACTTGGCCATCCTCTTTAGCTCTTCTTTTGAGCCTTTGGCCGAAGGCTCCAACCCTCCCAAAGCCAGAAGGGAGCTTGATTTGATCCTGAAATGGACGGGACAAGTGTGCAGGCACTAGGTGGGATGGGAGCTTTGGCCCAGGTTGGGAGGAGAGGGAACTCAGGGCCAGGGCCAGCGATCGTGCAGTCCCGCTCAGAGGGTGGAGTGGCTGGAGGCTGACCTTTCTCCCAGGGAGCAGGCACTGGGTGGACCCTGACACTGGGGAGAATGAAAGGAAAATTATATCATGCCTATTGTGTGCCAGGCAGAGGCAGCAGTTCCCCTTTCATCCGGGGAATGTCCCGGGTGGGTGATGTCAGTTCCTCATTGTGCAAACAAGGAAACTGAGACCCGGGGCCCATCCCATCCACGATCAGGGCCCAGGCAGCTCTGACTCAATGTTCAGTGCTCTCTGCAGGCGTCCGGGCACTTGCCACGCAGAGCAGTGAGCAAGGATCACAGATGCAGTGGGCTGGGGAAATGGCAGAAAACAAAGGGTTAGGGTGCCCGGATGCCAGGTTCTCAGTGCTGGTGTCCTCACAACTGGCTGTCCCTATGCCCCTGCTGTCCTCAGTGGGTGGACACTAGATCTGGACTGACCCCTGGGACAGGAGGATTCGAGATGTCTTATTCTCTTTTGATTTCTTTTGTCTTTTCTCTGCCGGGAAGACACTGGTCTCTGTTCTTGGTTAAGTTCCCGGAACCATCTAAGTTTCGTGCCCCTCAGCTGTAAAAGGGAAGTGCATTGCGTTTGTTTATTCTGTAAAACTCTTGGTGTGTGCCATGGTATGCACTGATGACGAGCACATGTGTGCGGCCCTGCCCCCATGGAGCACATACATGGTCCTTCAGCCGGAGACCGCGCTGGGAGAACTCAGGGGTTCACTCCCGGTCGGAGGTGAGCATCTGCCTCTGCACAAAGGAAGGCATTTCCTGAAACCCCAAAGGCCCCGCAGCCCCCGCACGTGGAAGGAGTCACTCTCCTCCATGTGGGGTGAGCCACGCTGGCCTTGTGGCATACACGCGTTCTCTCCACCTGCTTCTCCAGCCTGAAGGGGACCTCAGTGTCCTCTAATGACCTTCTTGAAGAGAGACATTTCCTCCCTGCCTTCATTGGAGCCTTTAGACGGAGCCAATGACAGCCCAGCTCAGGTTGTTTCCCATCTGTGAAATGGGAAGAGGGAGGATGGCGCTAGTCCCTTGCCCTCACCACATGGTCCGCTACAGAGAGGAAAGATGTTTCCATTCTGATCCCCACACACCTCTACCCCGTCCTTCCAGGCTCCTGATCCTCATTGTAATTTTGGGGCTATTTGGTGATATTTTCTTTGTCCTTGGATCTGAGGCTTCTACCAGCACGTGTTTTTTCAACATGACAAAGTAAAAGCCCTGGGCCAGGCGGGGTGGCTCATGCCTGTAATCCCAGCAGTTTGGGAGGCCGAGGCAGGTGGATGACAAAGTCAGGAGTTCGAGACCAGCCTGACCAACATGGTGAAACCCCCTCTCTACTAAAAATACAAAAAATTAGCTGGGCGTGGTGGCACGCGCCTGTAATCCCAGCTACTCAGGAGGCTGAGGCGGGAGAATCGTTTGAACCCAGGAGCTGGAGGTTGCAGTGAGCTGAGATCACGCCATTGTACCCCAGCCCAGGCAACAAGAGCGAGACTCCGTCTCGGGGGGTAAAAAGAATAAGACAGCCCTGCTCCTGCAGCAGGGGCTGAACCCCATCCCTGACAGATGTTTCTGGCATCAGCAGCAGCTGGTGACCCCGGCCAGCCCCCTGCCAGCCGGGCTTGCTGGCAGCCACTCAGAGGGGACAAAGGCCATCCTGGGCACATGTGTCCCTCCTGTGGCCTCCCTTCCTTCAGCTGCCCGCCCCCACCCCCAGCCCCACCCCCACCCCATCGCTGCTGGGCTCCTGGCTTCATTTATTGATGGACTCTCCTGTGGGGTTCTCCGGGGAACCCCAGCCAGAGTTCAGACTTCAGAAAGGGCCGCTTAACTGACTCCCTGTGTCCCGGGGTTCCCCTGTCCTCCTCTGCGACCCTGGTCCCTGGCCCCCTCAGTTGCACGCAGCTGTGCTATACGTTCCCTTTGCATCACCCCCCACCCCCTGCTCCCTGCAAAACCCCACTGCTCTGTAGGCCACAAATCCAGAGATTTAATGCCCCAGTGAACTGTGGGTCACGTTCCTTGGCTCAGCTGTTTACTCAGCTGGTGGGTGCTCATCAGAGTTGGAGAAGCCATATTGGAGGGGAGGGGTCCCAAAGGCAGCAGCAACCCCTCTAAAGTCATGGAGTTGGGTGCCAAGGGCCACCCGGGGTCCTGCGGTCCCACGCTGCTGCAATAAAGGTCTCCTGGCTTCGCCTCCCAGGCTTCCTCCTTGCCATCCTTTCTCGGGGACTCTGGCTGTGTGGCCTGGGTTTGGATTTGTATTGTGAGGAAGAAGAGACAGAGTGGGGTGTGTGACAAGGGCTGGGGTAAGCAGGAAATCAAGCCTTGCTAGTTGGTTTTCTGGAGTGGAATTGAGCCTTAAGAAAAGAGACTTGTGAGGGCCAGGTGTGGTGGCTCATGCCTATAATCCCAGTGCTTTGGGAGACCCATATGGGAGGACAGCTTGAGGCCAAGAGACCAACCTGGGTAACATAGCAAGACCCCGTCCCTACAAAAAAATAAAAAGATGAGCTGGGTGTGTTGGTGCACACCTGTGGTCCCAGCTACTCAGGAGGCCCTCGGGATGCCCCTCTACCCTGACTTCTAGTATGGCTTTGTGCCACTGTACTCCAGCCTGGGTGACAGAGCAAGGTCCTATCTCTAAAAAGAGAAGAAAGAAAAAAAAATGAGCCTTGTGAGCTGGAAACAAGGGAGGCAGAGGTCCTTCGAGTTCCCCAGCCCAACCCTGCGGGACCCCCAGGGAGCTGTCCCTCCCTCCCTCCCTGCTTCCCTGACACGGGTGGAGTCTGTGCTGCCACACTGGCCACCTTGCTGAAGCCTGCCAGTGCCGCAGGGGGGTGTCACTGGCCTTCCTTACAGAGAAGGAAACTGAGGCTCAGATGAATGCAGACAGCCTAGGCCTGCGCCAAGTCTGGGGTGCATCTCACGTCCGCACACCTGCCTCCAGTACTGCTCACTGCCCCCGGGACACACAGGTAGGGGATTGAAGCAGAAGCTGGCAGCGGCTCTGTCTGCAGAGGCTGGTTGCCTCGTCTCCCATCTGTGCGCTTGGGTCAGGGCCCCTTTCACGAGCAGGCCCCCGTCCGGAGAGCACTGCAGCACATGTTCACTGTTTGCTCAGCAGGATGAAAGAGCTTACCAGACTTTCCTGGCCAAGTTGACCAATTGGTGATTTTTCATAAAGCCCCACAGCAAAGCATCTGGAAAGCTCCTTTCCTGCTCCTGACAGTCACCCGAACAGCATGTTTCCAAATCCACAGAACATATGGGCTGCAGAGCTGAGAGCCTTGCTCCTGGCCCAGCCAACAGAATGCCGTCTTCTTTCCCTGGCGTGGGCGCAGGGGCCGCTCTCAGCTGCCTTGCCCCCAACCTTAGAGCCTTGCCTTTGGTACCCGCTCGCTTGCCTCCAAATTCCTGCGTCCAAGACCTCAGGGACAGCCCCCGTTGGGTACTCATCTGCTATTAATACCAGCCCATTTCTTTCCCAGCAAGGAGAGCCTGGCTGAGTCAGTCCCTGGGCCAAGATTGGTATGGAAGGAACTCTACTGATATGAGCAAGGCAGTGAATAGGCAAAGCACAGCTCCTGAATCCAGGATCAGGTCATAGCCAGTGGCTATCAGAGCTTCAGATAGAAGAGCCAGCGGGAAGCCCCAGACCCACCTGGCTGTATGGGACATTGACCCAGCACAGGGAGAAGACCCAGGTGGATATAAGTTGTAGTTACTCTTCTAGTTCTGGGTTGGAGGCTGGGCTTATCCATGGGCACTGAATCCTTAAAAAGTTAAATGAAGATGCTAAAATAGAGCCACTTATGGACTCATGTTGACTGGTGTCAGAATAAAGTCTACAATCAGTCCAATTCTGTGTATATCTGAGTTTGAGGACAATGATAGTAATAATAACAATAGCAATAACTTGACTGGTCTAAACCTCAATGCATTGCTCTACTTGGCCAAACCTGTATACCCCCCTTCCCCCAAGTTCCTTTATCTCGATGAATGGCCTCAGTAATCCTGAGACCAAGGTCTGCTGCATATTCTTCCTCCCCTGCACCCTCCAGGAGCAATCCATCACCAAGTCCCATCAGCGCGACACCCTGAATGTCTCTCCTCCACACTTCCTTCCAGTTGCCCCTGCCTGGTGGGGCCTCATCCTCCCTGTCTGGCTCCATTGGATGCCCTCTGCTTGCTTGCCTCGTCTCTGGCTGTATCCTGTGGGTGACATGCATGCATAACCGGCGCCACTTAAACCCCCCGGTGGGCTCCAGGGTGCACCAAGCCATGCCATCCCATTGGCCCCATGTCCTTTCCTTTTCCTCTCTTGCTCCAGCCTTACTTGTAATTCCTCAGTTCACACCTCCATCATGTCTGTCAGTCTCAAGATCTCCTCGAAACCCCCAGCCCTTCTCCAGACCTGTTCAAGTGCCCCATTCATCACTCCCCGTGTGCAGTTCCGTAGTTGTCCATTTTGCATTGACTTCCCAGTATCCGGAGGCAGGAGCCGGCTCTGACCCAACTTGCCATTCCCAAAGTACCCTCTCAGTGAATGTGGCAGGTCCCCCTGCCTTGTCAATAAGTCATGTGATTGGGCAGGTTGTGTGACTTGTCCCTCTTGTCTCGGAAGGTCGTCCTGCCCAGAGCCTGTGAAGGTGCAGTGGCCTGAGCCAGGCTTCCAAGAGGACAACCGTGATGGGCTCAGCGTGTGCGTTGCTGGGTAAGCTCTGCTTTTCCTGGTTACACTCGGAAATACTTGTGTACCTGTGACTAAGGGCCAAACTCGGACTAGATGATAGGCGATCAAAGATGGGCTTTGTGACAGGCTGGAGTGCCTGCGATGGCCTCAGAGAGGGGCTGGAATGCATGTGCTTCTCACCAAGAACATTAGCAAGCAGAGGCTGGGTCATTTCTAACAGCTGCTTCTCTGAGTGGAGGGAAGGGCTGGCTAGAGAAGTCCCTCATCTCTGGTCCCACCTAAGAGGTGGGAGTCATGTTACTTTGCAGCTGACCAGATGCAAGCTTGAGATGGGGCCCAGGGTAACCTTCACATCCCTGCCCGAAGGCTCTTTTAAAAATTATGTAGCTAATTGCATTCTATTAACTCATTACCGTAATGGAGAGTGCAATAAGCAGGGGTCATGTATGTTTTCCCCATAAAATAACCTAAGCTAATGACTGACATTTATTGCACATAATTTTTAAAAATATTTTTCCCATTAAAAAATAAATATATGTTTATTATACAGAGCTTGAAAAATATTGAAAAGAACAAGTGTAAGAGCAAGACTCTCCCTAGTTCCCCCACTCACAGATCACCATTGCCAACATTTTGGTGGCCAGCCTCAGCCTTTTGTTTTTTTCTATAAATTAGGTGTGTACGTGTCTGTGTGTGCTTAATTGAGTTTATCATTGCCATCTTGTCTTCCATTTCCACTAATTATATATCCTGAACATTTCCCAAGCCATTAAGCAATTTCTTATCTTGTGCTTTTTAATGGTTACATAGGGTTCTAGCAAATGGCTCTATTGTAATTAATTGGTTTGCTTTTATTGAATATTTAGATCCATTTAGAAGTTGAATTGCGCAAATCGGGAAGGACATCTTTGTTTATTCATCGTCATATACGTGTCTGGCTCACTTTCTGCAGTTCATTCTGTGTCAAAAGGTGTGAGCGTTTTATGGCCAAATTGCCCTCTTAAAGCTTGTATCAACTTACATTCTCAGAATTAGTTTGAAAAGTGCCTGTTTCTCTGGGAATTATCAAGGTTGTTCACCTTTGCCAATTTGTCAAAACACAGTATTTCGTTCTTTTCGTTGGCAGTTCTTTTATTACCTGTGATAAAAGACATTTCCCCCTGTCTCTTTTGGTTATCTGTATCTGAATTGCCAGTTCAGGTTTTTTTTTCATTTTTCATTTAGTTTTTACTTTTGTCAAAGTCATGCATATGCATCGTTTAAGAGTCAGATGGTTGTAGAGCAGCAGGCTTCCAACTCCACCCTAATTTTCTGCTTAACGGAAGCAATAGTTTTTAACTCCTTTAACTGATTCTCTTGACATTTACATCCGAATATCTAAGTAACATTGTTTTTCTCTTCTACTTCTTGATTTTCTTTTTCTTTTTTGAGGCTTAGGCATTATCGTGACTTTACAACTGTAGAAGATGAGGATTTGACTCCTTGGCCTCACCGCCCCCTCCTCCCTTCTTTCTGTGCACCATCCTCAATATATTTAGTACGTAGTTCGGGCTTGATCCAAATTCAGAGTTCACCTTTTTATGAGAGTGTAAGCACTCCTGAAATCTGAGCGTTAGCACTACAATTTACCTTTCCTTCACGACTATTTTTTCTCTTGGAGTTAGTAATTATCTTGTATTTTTTTTCTCTTTGATTGGTTAGTTTTTTTGTGAGCCTAGCTGATTTATCCCTAGCCTGTCAATATATTCAAACACATTATTTTTAATTTTTTAAAAAATGTGTTTTATACTATCTAGAAATGTCTTCCCAGAGCCTTCTGGCCGGTTTTGTTATGAACTGGGTGATCTTTAGGGTTCTGGATACCATCTTGGAATATCTTTCACATTCTCCTTCTGAGGATTCCTTTGATCCTCTCTCTTTAGCTGGATTTTGTAGATTGCCTACTTTTGTAGATTCCATGTTATCATCCTTTTTGGTTTACTCCTTTGTTTTGCTAGAGTGCATCCTCTAGCAGTTTCTGTAGAAATGCTTAATGGAAGGTAAATTTTTAGAGCTCTTTCACATCTAAAAAGGAAAATATCTAGCCCACACTGACATTGAAAGATTGGCTGAGTATAGAATTCAACGTTAGAAACTTTTTTTTTTAAATTTTGGCTCAGATTTTGAAAGAACAAATCATTATCTTGTGGCTTTCAGTGTTATTGGTGAGATGTCTTAAGTCTTTGTGATTCCTCATGCCTTCTATGTGAATTTTTTTTCTTCCTTTCTGGAACTTGTAGAACTTTCTTGTTGTCTTCCAATGTTTTAAAATGTCATGTGTTTGTGTATTGATGTACATCTGTGTTTATCCATTTTTCCAGGTTCTTTTAGCCTGAAGACACTTGTCCTTCAGTTCTAGAAACTTGTCTTGAACAACTGGTTGGATCATTTCCTCATACTTGTTTTCTCTTCCTAGCATTTCCTTCTTTTTTTTCTTTCTTTTCTTTTCTTTTTATTTTCTCCCCCCAACCCTTTTTTTTTTTTTTTTTTTTTTGATGGAGTTTCATCTGTTGCCCAGGCAGGAGTGTAGTGGTACGATCTTGGCCCACTGCAACCTCTGCCTCCTAGGCTCAAGCAATTCTCCTGCCTCAGCCTCCCAAGTAGCTAGGATTATAGGCGTGTGCCACCACGCCTGGCTAATATGTGTATTTATGGTAGAGATGGGGTTTCATCATATTGGTCAGGCTGGTCTTGAACTCCTGACCTCAAGTGATTCACCCACCTTGGCCTCCCAAAGTGCCGGGATTACAGGCATGAACCACCACGCCCAGCCTCTCTTCCTAGCATTACTATTGTTTGTATGTTGGAACTCCTGACTAGTTTTCTAATATTTCCATATTTTTCCTTTGATTTTTAACTTTTATTATTCATGTTCTGTTTCTAAGAAGGATTTCCCTATCTTCATGTTTTAACTTATTTTCATTTCTGCTTTCATATTTCTAATTTTTAATTTTTAAATTATATTCTAAATATTATATAGCATTTTGTTTTATGAGTGCAATTGCTTCTTTAATATCTCTGATAATATTAATAATAGGTCTTTTGAAATTTTTTTCTCCATGCAGAGTAGGCAAGCTTCATTCAGTTTACCACTTTGAACTGGAAATCGTTTACCCATTTTGCTCTATAGGTGTGTTCATTTTTTATTTTGATTTTGTAAGACCTTTTTTAACAAGAATAGTAACTCTTTTTCTGTCATATGTTACCTGGATCCCCCACTTTTTCATTTGCCATTCCATTTTGTTCATAAATTATTTTTTATTTTAAAAATTACTATGTTCTAAAAATTTATCATTAATTTTTCCTTACAATTTCTTCACTTGCATTTTTCTTTTGGCTCAGAAAGCCCTTTCCCAAACTGAACTTTAATTTTTTTTTTTAGTTCTTTCATGATTTCATCTTTTATATTTGAATCTTTACTTATCAACTTAATTATTGTGAGAAATAACTAATTGTTCCACTTCCACATTTACTACATGCTAGATACTTTTATAGTTTGGGTTCTTGTTCTGGTTTTCTATTATCCATTGGTTTGTCATTGCTTTATTTTAGTTTGTTGTATTATTAAAATGTGTTATTACTCAGTAGCAATAGTCTTCCTTAATTCTTATTTGTCAAGATTTTCTCCGTTAGTCTTATTTGTATGTTCTTTCAGATGAACTGTAGTGATATTGTAAAGTTAAAAACATTCTTTATGGATATTGTGTGGAACTTTATAAAGCTGTCAGTTAATTTAAAGAGAGTTAATATTTTTTGAAACAGGCTTTGCATGATATTTTGCAGCTTTATGTATACATATATATTCATAAGTTGTCAAATTTGATAGATTCACAATTTGTTACTTTTATTTCAGGAAATTAAGTGTGGCTTCTATTGTGAATTTGATCCACTTTCTTTATATTTTGTAACTGGTTGTTATTGGTATGTAGGGAAGTGTCTATAAATTTATTGTTACTGTTCATCTCACTGAATTCTCTAATTTGTTCTGCAAGTTTCTAGTTGAGTGTTTTGGAATTTCTAGGTAAAGAGTCATTCATGGCTGGGCATGGTGGCTTATGCCTGTAATCCCAGCACGTTGGGAGGCCGAGGTGGGTGGATCACCTGAGGTCAGGGGTTTGAGACCAGCCTGCCCAACATGGTGAAACCCCATCTCTACCAAAAATACAAAAAAATTAGCTGGGCGTGGTGGCGGGTGCCTGTAATCCCAGCTACTCTGGAGGCTGAGGCAGGAGAATCGCTTGAACCCGGGAGGCGGAGGTTGCAGTGAGCCAAGATCGTGCCACTGGACTCCAGCCTGGGCGACAAGAGCAAAACTCCGTCTCCCAAAAAAAAAAAAAAAAAAAAAATGAGTGATTCATATCTATATATAATGCAATTTTTGTCTGTCATTTTATCTCATCTATTTCTTTTCCTTTGGCTAGATCTTCTAAAACATTGTATTATTGATAACAGAAATCTTGTCTTGTTTCTGGTTTACTTTTAAGTATGGTTGCAAATCATTTTTTAGTTGAGATTTTTTTAAATAAATGAAGTATTTATACCTAGTTTACATAAGACTTTAAAATCAGGATTGGAGTTAGAATTTTATGAAATGTTTTTTTGATATCTGTAGATACCATGTTGTGTTTCTTTGTTGATCTGTTGATACAATAAACTGTTTCGTAACTTTGAAACATTTTTGGATTGAATTCTACTTGATTATGGTGTATTGTTGTTTTAATATACTACAAGATTTGCTAGGCTAATATTTCATTTAGAATTTTCCAAATCTATTTTTTTGTTGAATTTGAGTGTCAAAGTTATGCTGACTTTGTAAAATAAATTAGGCAACATTCCCTCTTTTTCTGTGTTCTGTACCATATATGCATTATTTGAATGATTTAGTCCAGGAAAGCTTGAAAGAACTCACCTATGTGACTAGCCTGGGATAAGTCTTTGGCAACGTCTCTTATTTCTTCTGTATTTATTGGATTCTTTAGGTTTTCTACATCTTTAGAATTTTTGCTTCTTTTTCTAATATAGCTCAGTGTTTAAATGTGCAGGCACTGGAATCAGACAAATTGAGTTTAAGATTTTGGCCCTCTCATTTTCCATGTGATGGGGACACTGTGTCACTTCCCTAGTTCTTAGTTTCCTCATTTGTTAAATGGTTAAAACGAAAGCCTCCGAGGGCCCTAACAGGACCGGTGTTTGGATTAAGAGATATAGTTACCTTGCACTGGTTCTTGCCCATAATGAGTGCTCACTAATGTTTTTAGATATTATTTATCCTAGAAAATAATAGATTTTTATGAGATTTAAACATTTATTCACATAGGATTATAGTATTTTTATACTAGAATTTTAATGTATTTCCATGATTACATCACTTCTGTCATTCTTAATTTTGTATATGCATACTTTATCACTTTTTTATTAGATGACCTGGAAGAATATCTGTTTTAGAGGTTTTTCAAAGAATCTGTTCTTGGGATAACTTGTCAGTTCAACTGGTTTTTGTGTGCCTGTGTTCAAATTAAATAATATCTGTCTTTATTGATTTCTTTCTTCTGCTTTCTTTGTTTTATGGATTTGTCCATATATGCCCTATTGTTATTCTTCTTTAATAATGAAAATATTTCACGGTATGAACTTGCTTCTGTTTGCAATTTTGACTGCATTTTCATATGGCTTAATATGTAGTCTTCAGTACCTTAAAATATTTGTTATAAGGCTTCTTATTTCTTCTTGTTATTAGAAGAAATAATTATCTGAGTTAAATTTGCAAAAGTAGAGCTGATTTTAAAAAATTAATTTCTAATTTTTTAAAGTTGTAAGTTGTTTATACTTTTAATTCAATTGTGGTTATCTTTTATTGTGGCTTGAGAATGTGGACACAAATTCTACTTTGGGGGAATTTATTGATGTCTTTTTTCTGCATAATATAATTGATTTTGTAAATGTTTTTTGTGGGCATTTAAAACTAAGATGTACTCCTTGTTTATAAGGTATGGATTTTGATGTAAAGACATTTAGTTTTATTAGCTTTTTAGTCTTTATTTGGATTTTCTTAGCAAAGAATTACGTAATGTATAAGCAACCGTATTTTGAATCTCAATCTAAGAGTTTACTGGACGTATCTGGCTTTTGTTTGTTTCATTACATTGCTTGGAACTTTTTGGACGGTGACCTAATGTTGATGAGGTGGGCTTCTTTCCCGTTTTTCTCATGTTCTGTTAAGTTTGTTGTTGCTTCTAGATTTGGGGTATGCTTATCATTGACTTCCTAGCTATTTGACATTTTTAGGACTGAAAGAGTTTTGGAAACGATGTTTCTATTTTCCTTGTTTGGGTGCTATTTTACTTCTAATGCAAATGTTCATGAGTGCCATGTCACTGTTGTGGATTATACCTTCCCTCTCTGAGAGGTGTTTAATGACCTGAAATCACAGAAGCACATCTGTTTTCTTTTAATTTGTGTTCCTGAGCTAGGTAGCCTCACTTGCTCATGTAATTGTTTCTGGAAGCCTGTAATGAAGGCAAAGTGTTGTTTGAAAGTTGAGCTGGAGACTTGCATGTTCCAAAGAATTTTGCTCCTCGAGAGCTCAATCTTCCAGGCAATTTCTAACATTCCATGGATGTTCTTTAGTTTTGTTCTTTTCAAACACGCAGTCAACTGCCTTAAATTCAATTATTGAGGCCAAAGACGGGCCATGTTGGGTCCGCCTAACAATGCCCATGTTTATACTAATTTCTGAAGCATATAGGAGATCTGTCCACAGGTGTCTGTGCATATAGACCTGAAGCATATAGATCTGAAGCATATAGGAGATCTGACCACAGGTGTCAGCAACTTTGTTTTTCCATTTTCCACTTATTTATACAACAGTGGAGCAAAATGTAGTTAAATACTGGTTTTCAAAGGCAGCCAAACCCTTTATTCAGACCAAATATTACCCAGAAGGCCAGTAAGTAAAATAGATCAAGTCAGGTCTGCCTTGTTTGGGGCTGTGCAGTGACCCCAAGTTGTTGGTGCTGGGCACCCTCCTTAAAATGCTATAGGGGACCCCAAATGCCCCTGAGATTACCCTTTGAAAGCCTCTGCAAAGAAATATTTAAATAATTGCACAAGCAAACTGAAAAAAAAATGGCTATGTATGCAAAACTGGGGGTGCCTTTGACTGCTTGCTGGCAGTCAGCTGCTGTCTGCATTCCGTGGCTTGGGGGATGTCCGTGCATGATTGTGTGGGCTACCTGGGATTCCAGTGCATGGAAATTGAGGCCATCCTGTTTATCCCTGCCATCCCTCGGCTTTGGATTTTCTTGAGTTAATTTATTTAAATTGTGTTCCAAATAGACAACATATAGTTTCAGTTGGAGTCTTTTGACCCAAACTGAGCATTCTGTTTGGAAAGAACGTGTAACCCATTTACGTTTGGTCCCTTAATTGTCATGTTTGCGCTTTAAACAAAAATTGTACTTAATGCTTGTTTTATTTTTTTCATCCTTTCTTCCCTG